TTGGACAATAAAATCAAAAAATATTGGTATTGGAAGATTAGCATTAAGATTAGAGAAGGAGGTTGGCCAATACTTCAGCAAATTAAGAAATTTATTTTTTTATTTTATAATTCAATCTTCTTCAAATTTTTGTATTTTTTAAATAATAAAATACATACATAATTTGAGTAAGAATTGATGATTAAATTATTAATTATTGAGATTTTGACTTGTAATAGGATTTTCTGAAGATTTGATAGAATTACTTAGGATTTGAATAGGATTTTTTTTAAAATTTGATTAGAATTTTATTAAAATTTATTTAGAATTTTATTTTTTAATATTTTTTAATTTTTAATTTATTTAATTATTTTTATATTTCTTTATAATATTTTTAAAAAACTTTAAAAAATCTTTATGTTTATTTTAGAATTTCTTTAAGATTTCTTTAAAATTATTTAAGGTTCAATTGGAATCTATTTAGAATTCTATTAGAACTTTTGTTTGTTGCAAATTATAATTTACCATCTACAACTAAGTATTTGGTGCATTTTCAATTAAGACAATAAATAATACAACATTATTTCTTTTATTTTAGTCTATTTATTCTAAAAGAGCTATTATTCTCTTTATACATCATGACATTTTAATTGTAGGACATTATAGGTTTAATAAGACATTAGAATTTATTTTTAGAGATCTTGAGTGGTTTCAAATATAAAAATATTGTTAATTTTTTTTTTATGTCTTATGACATATGCTCTAGTTTAAAGAATCATCAACATCATATATATAGATTTCTTCAACTGTTATCAATTCCAAAGCAACTATGGTCTTTTATCTCTATAAACTTTATTATTAATATTTTACTATTAAATTCTTTTGATATTTTATATATAATTTTCACTTGATTTACTAAGACGATATATTTTTTTTCTTACTAGAAGACCATCAGTGATGAAATAATTGCCAAAATCTTTATTGATAATATTTATCAACATCATGAATGTTTTGATGATATTATATCAAATTATGGACCATAATTTGTATCTAAGTTTTTAAAGTTATTTTTTGAGATATTTTTATTATTTCCATAAATTTTCTTAGTATATATTGATAAATCAATAGCCATAGGAAGTAAATCAATTAAGTCTTAAATAACTACTAAAAATGCATTGTCAATTACAAAAAAGACAATTAGATATTAAAATTTATTTTCAATTAAATTTGCTTACAACCACATAATTCATACATCTATTCAAGAAATTATATTTTATTTTAATTATGGTTTTTATCTAATATGAAATATATTTTCTATTAATAGATCTAAAATTCTAGATTTAAATAATTTAGTAAGCCAAATTACTAATATTTAAGCTATGTTAAAACTTTAATTGGTAGAAGCTCAAATATGCTATAAAACATCATCTAATTGTTAAGAACAAGAATTCAATAAATAAAAATAAATATTTTCTATTCAAAAAAAATAATTCTATTGATTATAAATTGAAACTACTAGCAATTATGAAGATATATCATGCTTTTTATACCTCTTTTAGAATCTTATAAAAAATCAACTATTTTGAAAAGATCATAATTGCCATAGCCCTGATCAACTTCTTTAGCAATTTTTTATAGAAAGGATAGAAGTAGTTCCAAAAGTTTTAGAATTTAACTTTTATAGACATATAAATTTTAAAAATCCAAAGATGGTTCTATTCTACCTCAAGATTACAAAACATCTTTTGATTTAGATTACATAATTAGTTATAAATAATTTAAAAAATTAATTTAATATTAATAAAGCCATCTCAATTAAACATTTCAAGCCATCAATCTTAACATAAAGAATTGGATGAACTAAGAAGATGCCAAAGAATATCTAATAGTTGTTTTATAGTAATCATTATCAGAGTAGAACTTATCTATAAAAGATATCTTGAAGCATATTTTAAAGAACATTTTTGCAACATAGACACAAAAGTTTAAACATGGTCTATAATAGAAAACATTAATCACTATCATTGATTACAAAGATTGATGAATCTTTTGACTTGCAAAAGTTAACTTAAGTATGTAACAAATATCATGCAATATCTTGGACTTCCTTCATCTTTGATTAATTTTGACTTTATCCCTTCTTATGGAACTTAGAGCCAAAGTGGAAGGTGATTTTACAAATATATAATATAAAAAGTTTCTACTTGGTCTTAGAAGATTTTTAAAGACTCCAAATAATTTTGAAAAGGCTTTAGGAGATTCTAGTAGGTTTAAAGAATTTCTTTTAAGATCCTAGAAGGTTCTAGAGGATTTGAGATGGTCATATAAGGTTCTTAGAGGCTAAGTTATTTTTAAAAGTTGGTAAAGAAGGATCTTAGATTTTCTTCAATTTCAAGCATCAAATAAACTCCTAAAGAATCTTCTTTATACTTAGTATATATAAGAATTGAGACTAAAGAGATCCTTAGTCTTAATAATAAAATATTTTTACCTAAGCTTGAATCTTTTAGTCTTGTACTTGTATCTTGTTGTAGCTCCTTACTTGTGATATAAAGTAAACTTCTTTTGTTTCAATTCTCTAAACTTTTAGAGTCTTATTCTACTTAATTAGTATATCTATAATAATATGTTTATCTAGAAAATAGATAGTTATAACCTATAAAAATGATTTTTTCTTATTTTGTTATAAAATTAAAAAAAAAATTAATAGAAGGCTTCTAATCATTCTTTGAATCAAATATAATAAAAAAATCTAAGAATTATAATTATTAAGTTTTTGTCTTCACCTAAAAATACTAAACTCTAAAAATACTCATTGCTTTAAATCCAACAAGAAACGACTTAAAGATCATCTAATTTGTTTTTTTATTTTTTTAATTTGTAACCAATGTAAGATAAAATAACTAAAATCTAAAAATTATTCTTGGATTGTAAAAATTCTATGTTAAGTTTTTTAGAGATTTAGAGATTATAACTTTATGGCTATCTTGAAATTAGAATTATTATCTTCAAAGTATCTTTTGTCTAGAATACAACATATTTTTATTAAAACTATATGCTATTTTTTTATATAAAAATCCATCAAAAATAAATATTAAGATTTGATATCTATAAACTACTTATAATCTAAATCATTTTAGATATTTGAATTTATATTTAACAATTTAATCATCAAATTTTAAAATATAATTTGAATTGCATAATAATAAACCTCCAAAATTTCTTTTAAAACTTAGTGATAGGATTTTATATAAGCCTCTATTGTAAGATCCACATTTATAGCTATTGTACATTAACATTGTGTCTAAATTGTTTTCTTTTGCCATTTTGTTCTATAAAAGGTATTTATATTATATTTTTGTCTTAGCTATGAATTTATTGTTGTTATTTCCATCTATTTTTTATGAATAGAACTAATTTTCTATTTTTGGCTTTACCATGGTATTTTAAAACATCCAATTAGTTTAAAAACCTTGTATAGTCTTCAAATCTTCCTCTATTTTTTCATAATGGCTCTCAAGGTGGTAAAACTTAATTTTACTAAAGTCTTAAAAACATTTCTTTAAAAATTCCTAAAATGTTTTTATAATGTTAATATCAATTTAAAGCTACATTTTTCTATCTTGATAATTTTTTATAATAATAAAATTAATTTAAATCAATTAAAAATCCTATTTGTATTTAAAGAACTAATTTTAAAATCCTATTTTTATTCAAACCTACAAAATGTACTTGAATATTTTCTTTTAGTTTAATCCCAAGTGAATGATTTTGTTTTTGCTCTAATTAAAAGAATGTTTGAAGTCAAAAGTCAGTACCTAAAGTATTGACAGTCAAGTCAACAGTCAATGCAGAGTCTTTCTTTTTCTTTTCTTTTCTTATCTTTTTTGTCCATATTTCACAAACAATTACCATTACTTCCAACAAAAAAACTTCATGCATCCCACATTTTGACCTCACATCGATTTTGTCTTTAAACCCCTTTTAATTCAAAGCAGCATGAAACAGTGAGGCTAGACCCAGTGGTTCAGAGTGAAGTTAAACATAATACTTTGTAGGTTGTATTTCAATTTATAGTTTTATGTTTCAACATGAATCAATACCATCTTGTTCTGAAGTAAATCCATGATTGAAATACAAGTAATTATCAGATTCTTCTCTGTTAGAAACAACTGAGTTGGTTTTTGGTTGGTCAATCAAATCATTACAAAAGACACAGATCTTCTTTTGGTATGGTTTATGTTTCCAACTGATATACATATCAATGAAATGAAATTGAGATTAACAGATATTTCATGTAACTGCAAATCTATGCATAACATGAAACTTCACATCCGGATTTCTCGACAGGATGTTGGAACTTTGACTGCTCATTCGCATGGAGCACCGACACTGTCCTCCGAATGCGCACAGACGCACGAGAGCATCGACGGCGACGTTATTCACCGACACTTCTGACAGTCGAACACGATGACTGAGAATAGGGTGTATCGATTCAGCAGTCTGCGCTAAAAGTCCTTCACGTTGCGTCGATCACACGATCTGTGCACTACTTTCTAGATTCATCATCAGTGTTCAACCTCATGCACTCTCATATGTGTACGACGAGAACTAGTCGCAAACTGATGTGAAGAAATTGGTTTCCTGAGTTATGGTTTGATTCCCATTTCTCGCTTTGAGAAGCGAGAAGGCAGCATTCTACCCAAATCTGCCTGCTAGCGTTGATCATGCTTTTGGGTTCCTGGAGTAAAGCTTGCCATGACTGCTCCTTGTTGCTGAATGAACGTTCGTGCAGTGTCCTTGCAGGTTGTGTGAGCCCTGTTCGTAATTCCCAACAGTATGCCAATCTGAACATTTCGACCCATAGGTTGTTTGTCTTGGATGGTGGTAAAGTAGATATGGGTTTTTTTCACGTGTTACAGTTTTTGTGGGTATCTAAGTATTCAAGCTAGGGTGTGGGATGAAGGACCGACACATTCGATTACGTTCGCAAGTTTTGATGAGAGCCTAGCAACGTGATGTGTATGATCAAAGGCACTGCATTGAGAAAACGCAGAACTTAAACCCTTGTAGATAAACTAGCGTACAGGTCTTCCACGTATGGTCGAGAATCCTACTCTACATTTTGGATCAACTTGAAACTGACATAGCTTAATTCAAGGAGCCAGTTTGTTTCTCTAGGAACCGTTGGTGGACTTTTCGAGTCCATTAAACCTTTACATCTGGGAATGGCACGTGATGCCCTCTAAGGAGTTTGCTGTAATATTTGTTTCCCCGGTGATCTTTCTGCACCACCACAATAGTCTTATACAAAATTCTTCAAAGATCAACTTCGAAAAAAGAGTCGAGAAGAGAAATTTCATCCTGCTTGCAACGAGGCGCTTTCGAAGTGCTTCTGGCCAACTTATTGCCGTAGTCTTTGTCTGCAGAACTCGAGCGCGACAGTGCTTTCGCAGACGAGAAACTGCGCATCACAGACTGCTGAGGGTGCATGCCAGGTTCACGTTGATAAGTTTGCGGCCACGCGGATGGTTCTGAAGGATTCGATGGTGCAGTTATAGGCTTAAGATTCTCTTCTTGTGGTAAACGATGCATAGACATTGTCGACGCTTGCAAGCAAAGCTCGAAGTTGAGGACTCCCCGCTGCTTTCCCGAGCGCCTAAACACCTGCATTTCCAAGAGAAACGTCATTGCCTAGCCAAGTTTGTCGACAAAGCTTGAAGATGAATATTCTGGAAAATTTGGAAGTCAAACATGGGGAGATTTCAGTTGTAAATAGATGGGTGTGAATCGAACCGGATGTTGCAGAAATGGCACATGAACAGAGGCTCCTTGCGACCCCTTCAGTAGGATATCAGTCATGTCAATCTTTACGAATCCGATCGGCTTCGTGGACACCAATCCTTGCCCGAGAAGTTCAATATTCAAGCACTTTTGTTGCCCTAGGGTCCGCTCGTCAAGAGTCACGGAGATGGTGGCATTCCAGACAGGGTTTCGGCCATGGTTTTTGTCAAATGGAGAGGGTACTCTCACACCTGGGTCCATCCATGCGACTGCGTAAGCTGCCGATCTACTCTTGTGCACTTTCTTCAACCCGTTCGCGGATTGAAGCACTATGTCCAACTTCCTTGTATTCAGTTTCATGTTGAGGAATTTGAAGACTTTCACGGGGTTTCTGCTTGCGATTTCTATGCAAAGACTCTACACTCGTTCGCAATTGGCACAAGAAGACAGAAATAAGGGCCTAACTTGTGAATACGACCCGAATTGACTTATGAATCTCCTCTCACACTGGCTATGTGAAAGGCTGGGAGAAGTCTTTCGAACTCACCGACGCTCGGTAGGCATCAGAAACTAGAACTAAGTTGAGTCGCAATTCGTGTCGAAGTTTTCTAACCAACTAGTTTGTCTCTGACAGGATTTGGCATGAACAATATTTGTGTTGCAGTCTTTGAACAAATTCCAAACTTATGTACTTGAAGGAGCCTGGCAGTCCTCAGTATCGGAATTTGAGAATACGTACTTCTGCAGGAATCATCACACTCACTCGGAAATTGTGCTATGCAAATCGTGGAAAACAACAGTGTTGGTGGAATGTCCCGCAACCTTTCTTGACAGGTCTTAGTTCTTTACACTCTACTTTGCTTTGTTTCAACCTGCGTCGAGTCCATACAACATGTCGTAGCCAGTCAGATGACTTTCTGGTTCCATCGGAGACTCCCTTTCCTATGGAATTATGCATTCGACGTGGACCATGGTAAGGGACTCAAGAGCCTGATATGAGCGCAGCGGGTTGTAATGAAGTCGGTCAGCCATCATCGACCTTTGCAAACCTCAGCGAAGTCTTCGTCCAGGGCAGTGGGTATCGTCACGCATCTTGTGCGCACACCATGAGGATTCCCCAAGAATGATACCTCACCAAGGAAGTCAACGGACTTTTTCGTAGCGGCTTTTGAATGTCACTGCTCACCATCAGAAACTGAAAATTTTCTGAACCTCGGATTGATAATTATGTCAACAAAAGGAACTATAAGTAACAAGTTTTCTAACTCCATAATGCCGTTTGAGAATACCTTCTGCTGAGTATCCGTACTACAGCAATAACAGGTAATTTCGAAGACTTTCAAGAGACTCTGTTGAGAATTTCACTCAATTACATTTGTCTCATGACAAGACTATTTTATACATTTGTGTTATCCTAGCCACATAATCAAGTTTTGCCCTAACCCTAAGTGCAACATAGAGGTGACATGGCAATATGGCTGACATGGATGTAAGGAGGTGACTCAGTGGCATTGTGGCCAAGCAGGTAGTGATATGAGAAAGACAAGTACATCATTTGAAGGTGGTGCAAAATGAGTTTATTGCTCCTGAAGTGATGCAAGTTGGAGTTTGCCAACACCTCCTCACAACTTGCATCCATGATTTATTTTTCAATAGCACATTTTCAATTCACTCCAATCAATGCCATTGATTAGCTCAGCCATATATTGGAGGATTTTTTGCAAGTGAGATGATCGCTACTTTGTTTTTATATCTTCTCTTTTTGGTTCTCTTTTATCTTGTAGAAGCAATTGATTTATTTTTGTTGCATTGCTTTGTTTAGTTGCAAATTTTGCTCATTACAATTTGGCTTGTATTGTTGATCCTTCAATGAATTTGTGCATCAATATTTGGTTTGTTGCTTTCTAGATTGTTGATGCTTGTATTGCAGAGTAAAAGTGGAGAAAGAATTGAATCTCTCACCATAGTGGTTGTATCTTTGTCAAAGGCACATTCAACTCATGTGTTGAGAGCTAGGATTTTGTGAAGATTTAATATTCAAAATTTCTATATAGTATGTCAAGGTTATAGCATAAGTATCTTTACATCTTAGTCACAATATACGATGCACATATAGGGATATTGAGGCATGGAATTTAAAAAATTCAAAACTTGTGCAGAAGTAGAAGAATACATTTGTCTAAAAAGCTAAATTAGATTAGTTAAGTTTAATCTTCTTTTGTATATCTATGCTGGTATAATTTATAGTCTAGTAATTTTTTGTAACTATTATGTCATCCACATATAGTAATACTATTGTGTAGTTGTCACTTTTAATTGTAAAGTACATGTTTGGAACTTTATTACTTTTTTATAGATTTTGGTCTCATAAATAGTTGTCAATTTGTCCATATCAAGCTTTGAGAACTTGGCATAATCTATATATTGTTATTTCTAGTTTGTAAACTTTATCTTCATTTTTTCTTTTTTTTTCTTTTTTTTTGAAACCTAAAGGTAGTATCATATATATTTCTTCCTCAAAATTTTTACTAAGAAATAATATTTTAATGTATAAGTGTTGTTGCTTCCAATTTCTTTTTGCTACTAGTTCAATAATAGTTTTGACTATTATCCATTTGACTATAAATATAAATATTTTAAAGAAGCATATATCTTCCTCTTATTCAAAGCATTAAGCTATAATCTTAGCTTTGAGTTTCTTGATTTTGTTAATTGGTCCTAATTTATCTTAAAGATCTACTTGGCTAAGGTTAGGATCTTTCTTTTAGATAAATTTTTTAAATTAAATAAGTAAAAATAAAAATAGAATAAGTTATATTGAAGGAGATATTACTTAAGGTGAGTTACTATTGATGAAAAAATTGGCTCTTGGTGTGTAAGAAGACTAAGAGATAAAGTAGATAAACAGACAAAGATCTTAAGGATTGTATTCTTTTATACATGTTTAAAACCTATCATAGTCTCTTGAAATACTATGTCTTGACTAATACAAATTCTATAGTATATAGAATCAAATAATCCATAGAATTTAGTTTGAATATCATATCTCAAAAATATATACTTAATTTAGTTGTATTTTTTTTAGAATGTGAAGATAAGCAACTAATTCAAATATTTGCATGTAGTCTACATGCAATTTGGTTTTATTGTAGAATTGTTCTAGAGTTATACCTTGATTTTTTCTAATAGAACTAATGTTTACTACATGGTTAGTATAGTAAATAACTTCAATCCATAGGTAGGCTAGTAGTTGACATGCAATTGACTTCAAGTGTATTCTTTCTACTATGTTTTGGTTTTTCTTTTTGATGACTCCATTCTACTATGAAGTACATGCCATGGTGAGTTTCTTTTTGATTTCTTGTCTTCTTAAGTAGTCATTAAATTCTTGTGATAGATAATCTCTTTCTTTGTACATCCTTTGACATAGTATTTGATTTCATATTTCCTACTCTACCTAGTTTTTGAATTTCCTAAATTTCTTAAATATTTCATCCTTACTTTACAAGAAGTATATACAATTCTTTTGAAAGTAATCATCAAGGAATACTGCAAAGTATTTAGAGCCTCTTAAGAATGGTGTTTTTATAGGTCCTATTAAATTTTAGTACATAGATTGTAATGCCTTTTCTATGCAATGAAATAAACTTTTTAGAAATCTTTCTCAATGATGTCATTCAACCAAGCAATCTTTATCCATCTCTTATAGTGTATAAAGTAGGGATAGACCTTGTTTTTGGCAAGCTCTCAACAAATATTGTAAAACAGCATAATATAAGCATCCAAACCTTTTATGCTATAGCATAGCATTGACTTTATTTGTCATTCAAATTACTTCAATGATAAATGGTTTTAATGCTTTATCATAAAACTCATAAAGTCCATTCTACTTATTTTTTTTTCCTTAGGTAGTTAATTTTTTATTTTGTTCTAATATCAAATAATGTTTATTTTTGAACATAATTATCTTATCATAGTTTGTCAATCTTCCAATTAAGATCAAATTGTGATCCAAGATTGAAACATATAAAATATTGTGAAGATTTATTGCAATAGATATTGAAGTTATATAAGCAAACCAGCAGCTTCATTCTTATAGAAGTTTCTAAATCATTGTTTGTTGAAATTGTATTACTAGGGCTTCTTCTTATTCCAACTTTTGCTCTCTTATAGCCATGTGGTGAGTTTCAAAAAGCTCATTGATAATGTCTTTGAACATTGATTGTATCATGTAGATATGGCCTTGAATCACCATTTTGTAGTTTTGTGGTAGTTTGTCGAGGATTGTATTTATAAGAGTCTTATCTACAATTTTTTTATCAAATGCCTTTAATTGATTTTTCATATCCTTTGCCTCCATCAAATAAGTATTAATGTCATTTCCTTCCTTTATTGTCATTCCATTTAGTTTGTTGGTCAATGACATGATTTGCTATTGATGTCTTACATAAAATGTTCTTATAAATATGTCCTGTAAATCTCCAAGATTGATGTATTGAGAAATTGTGCCTATCAAACTATCTATGACCGTCATGATAAGACCTAATAGGGCTCTTTGCTTTACTTCTACAAGATAAGTTTCTATATAAATTTTTTCTCATATAGTGATAGAAAACAATAAAACTATCGACTTGGTTTTTATAATATTCTACATATTCTCTCTCTTGACAATAGCAGTCATCTTCAACTTCCAAACAAAATAGCTTTGTGCTCCAACTAGTTTGCTCGACTCTCATACTCTACAATTTGTAAACTTCTATCTTCCTTATGCCATCCCTTTTGTACTTTCTCTTTCTACTTCCTAAATTAAAAGCATGGCTCACCAAATCTAAAAAACTACCTTAACAACGCTCTAATACCATGTTGAGAATTTCACTCAATTATCTTTGTTTCACAATAAGTCTATTTTATACATTTGAGTTATCCCAATCACATTATGCGGTAATTGCATTTTATCCTTATGCTAAGTACAACAAGGAGGTAACATGACAATATGGCTGACATGGACGAGTCATGATGACTTCGCATGGAATCTGACATGGAGGTGACTAGGTGACTCAGTGGCATTGTAGCACAAGTGGGAAGTGATATGAGAAAGTTGAATGCATCATTTGGTGGTACAAAGTGAGTTCATCCCTCCTAGAGTGATGCAGGTTGGGATTTGCTCACAGACTATCCATGGACTATTTTTCTCACGTACACTAAAATTAGATTTCTACATTCTGTTCTAATAATGGTATGAGTTATTACAAGATTTAAATTAGTTCAGCTTCTGTGTTGGTGTAACAGACTTGCACTGCCCTTGTGCTAGTGCCAAGAGCAAGGGCATAGCAATTCACGATGAAAGTTGTTTTTTGATGATTACTCAAATCGAGTAAGTAATGTATGTACAGGAAAGCTATCGCATTACGTTGCAATGGCATGAGTAAAGCACTCAGTGAAATTGTTTGTGGCCTTTTGTTGAAAGAGGAAATTCGAAAGTTCTTGCAGGATGATAGTGGTTCTAGCATCTAGGCCTCTAGTCCTCCAAAGGTATTATTCAATCATTTTCACAAAAGAAAGGTGCTTCGTAACAACATGATAGAGACGTTATCTTCCTCAAGCAATAAACAGTGGTGAGTGCATACATCGTTTCGTCGGTTGGAGGCGTCAGAAAACCCTCCAGGCACCTAGATGACCGGAACCCAGATGCAACAAAACCACACCACTGATGCATTCATGTGACCAATGTCAACCAATGTACCCTGTCGAACAAAACATCATACAAAAACTCGACACTTCATACTGACAAACCATCTTAATAATCGCGTCGACTGAAGCGTAGCTCCAAGAAACCCCTAAAAAATCTCACCTCCACCACACCAAAAACCCGTCAGGGAGCTGAAAGACATTTAACGAAAGGTTTGCAGTGATCCCTTCACAAGCATCACCAATCTACACCAGAACGAACACGGTCCTAGGTACGTGCCGACACATGCAACTCTGATTGAAACCAACAAATTTATCAAGTTTTTGACTTCAAGGAACTATAAATTTCAGTCCGAACCATCTTCTTCAAGCCTAAAACCCTAGCAACGTGCTTGAGACAGAACTGCAGGACAAAATGCTAAGAATGGCGACCAGCGTCGTAATGAGCAGAGTGGCGTTTCGAAAGAGAGGGATACAACGGCACACCTAGCGTTCGCGATCTGAGTGTTGGATACGAATGAGTGGGTCGGAGAGAGGGGAGGAATTCAACTTCTGCACAGGCTTCCACGCTTAACAATATTCAAATCGAAGGCTCAATGAAGATATGTAACCCAGATCCATAAAATCGGTGGTACCGGGCGAGGAAGGGACGTGGAGGAAGGTGGAAAACACGAGCAGCTTTCCAGAGAGTGGTTGCATAGATGTATCCTTCTCCACAAGAAGATTGGCAATGCATTGTGCAACGCCGTGGTCCCTACAGTATCACCAAACTTGCCATCGTCTTTTAGTAGTTTTCCAGACGTTCTTTCGCAACCAATTCCTAAGTAAAGCAAGTGAAAATTATTCCAAAGAGCTACAAAAAGCCAAGCACAGTCAGGCCTTCGTGATCTCTTTATAAAGCACATTGGCATGATTCTCAACAAATACACACATCAATCGTGTCCCCTCATATGATGTGTGGGCTGGTTGGACGTCTGCTAATGGATTCTTACTTATTTGCTCGCACATGCATTTGCTGAAATGCATCGTGAACCCTCCGATTGCGACGCTTGGTTCCAAACTTAGGGCCTGCTGAGCTTCAACTGCTACAAACGCTACAAATAGAGATGGTTTTGACAGCACTGCAGTTCATCGTACTCCTTCAGACACTTACCGAAATGAGAAATCTCGGTTCACTACCACACCCCAACTGGGGGCCATCTATTCAGCATTCTCGTGCATCGTTGCGAAAAACGTAGTTGCTTTCTTGCTCAGTAATAAAAGATGGAACTTTTCGTCCATCCTTCGTGGAGAATAAAGTACGTATGTAATGTTTCAGATTGCAATGTTTCACTGCCGACGGTATCGTTATGGGCTAAAATATGCGGCAGTATTTCTCTTCTCTGGTTCTGAAGTTCAACACGGTTTCCATCCGCAGGGTCCCGAAGGATCCTCCGCAATCACGACGCTGCAGCTCGTTCACATCCCATTTGCTTGTCAGCCTCCAATAAAATATTGAAACGTCGGATGCTCTTTGAAAAGAATAATATTATTTTTCATTCGTGATGATAACGTCTGCTAAACTTTAGGAATTTAAAATGAAGGTTACATTGGCATGGGAGATGGATTTTGAATCAAGTATTCTAAATGATCTCCAAATTAGAGAGAAATAAGGAAAACAAAAAATATTTTATAATGTCTTTATAATTAATAGAAAGATAGTGACTAGTTTACTTTATGCACATTTTTATAATTTAGTTTTGATGATCTGAGGAAGGAAAAAAAAAATGAATTTTTATTTTATTTGAATAAATAAAACTAAAGAGAGAGCAATGACAAATCAATAGCTCCAATTATGATTTTATTACATTTACTCTGCATTAGTTAGTTTTGTGCATGCAACAATCACTTGGTTTTCAATATAACAAACTTTCAACATTTTCTTTTCATGAAGGTAATTTTAACCATATTATATATAATATAAATATTTTTACGATTATAATAGTAGAACTAAGAACAAAGTCCTATTACTATTTCTAGATGGACCTTTGTATATATGAAGATCCAGTTTGTGACAAGCCATGGTTTTGTACTTCATACTCAAAACAAGCTACAAAGAAGACACAATTTACTACAAAGTTACCTAAAGCCAAAGGAGGTAATTATAAACCAAAGCACGTAAAAGACATTGTAAGTGACTAATATAAGAAGAGAAAACATCTTGTTGGTATTGATTTCATTTTGAAATTGTCTAGTAAAATATTACATTTATGATATATCCATGGTTTTAAGGATTAATATTTATAGAATTATTATTTTTTTAATTGATACAAACATAAATAATTTTAAAATAAGAGTTAATGCTTATGTAAATTTGTCATAGTAGAAATATTTATGAGAGATAAATTTATATTTTTTTCTAATTAAATCAATTAATATAATTAAATAGAGAATTCAATTTTTCTTTATTATGAAAAAATTTCATGGTGTAATTTTCTTTTTTTAAATAAAATTGCACTAAAATTTCAAGAAAATAAAAACTACTACATTTCTATACTACCTCTTGATATATATATATATATATATATTTTAAGAATTAAACCTAGATTTTGATTTTTTTGATTTTTTAAATTAAAACTTTTAAGCTAGATAAATTTTAAAGAAGGTATAAAATAAATTTAGAATATAAAGCAAATAAATTTCTATTAATTCAATAAATTTACTTGAAAAAATAAATATAATTCAAATGCCTTAATTTTTTTAAGCAAATTATATTTCTATCAACTCTCTAATAAAAGATAGCAGTACTTTATCAAATAAATATAATAATCATCTGCAATACTTAAATTCTATTTGATTATAGTTACTTATCTATTAAATGTACATATTTCTATTACAATTTTAATGTTATTAAAGACTATTTTGTATTCAGTGTTTAAAAATAATAGAATTAAAAATTAATTAATTAATTATAAGAGTATATAATTAAAAAAAATACCATATTTAGATCTATGAAATGAAATTATTTATTTCAAGCAAAAAAAAAAAAAAAAAAAACTATACTTTATATTAATAAATAAATTAAAGTTCTATTAAATCAAATCACATACAATTAGTAAGTAATTTGGAAATTTTATCTTCTTAGCAAGCATATCACTATCAAATAAAGCAACTTAAATTTATATTAAGAATTATGTAAAGAATGCCAAAAGATCTACCCCTTTTTCCAATCTCTTTATTTCTTTATTTCTTTTTTTAATCTCTCTATAAATAGATAGTAATCATTCTAGATTTTTTTTAGTGTAAACCATCAATCAAAACAACCATAAACAATCTTCTTGAGTACTTCACAAACTTCTCTACATTATAGAATATTAAATTCTTTCTTTTGCATAATGTTTAATCAGTATAATAAGAGATTTATTTAACAATATGTACATCCTTAATGTCACTCATTGTATACAAATCAATTTTAAATTTGCAAATAATTAGCTCTCTATAATACTACGATAGTCGACAAAGACATACAATAGATGCAACTATATTTAAACACAAGTCATTATAATCTATATATATATATATATATATATATAATCAATGATTATAATCTATATATATATATATATATATAATCAATGATTATAATCTATAATAAAAAATAAAAAATAAAAAAACTTCTATATTGGTAGGGATAAAAGAACATAATATCATTTTCAATTCTATGAAATGATGTTAATAAAACCAAATTAATGAAGCTTATATGAAACTCAAATTGTAAGAAAGCCTTAAATTTTTTATTCTTCCAACACGAATTTGCAATAAGCCAAGACTCATACTTAGACACTTTTTTTTTAGTTTTTTCTATTTTTAGGCTTTTTAATTCTTCTAAATTTAATTTATAATTCATTATATACTTAAAGATGAGCCACAACACAAAGATTTTTTAATATATTGTACAAATTTCAAACTTATTATATTAATTAGATATTATAAATTATAATATTTAAAAATTTAATAATTATTAAAGATAATTTAACTTAGAAATTACGTATGATCTTTAAAAAAATAATATAATATTTTATTTTCCTAAGAACATAAACTTAGTAATATATATATATATATATATATATATATATATAAGCTTAAAATAACTTCTAGGCAAGAGGCTAAATATTTAATAATAAAGTCCATTATATGTTATAATCACATAAAAGATAAAAATAAAAATAAAAAAAATTACTGAAGAAAAAATTAGTCTAAGATCTATTTTTTATCTAATCAAATATGATACTAAAGAAGAAACAAAAATATAACAAAAATTGAAGCAAACTTTTTCATTTCTATGCAATATCGCATCAAACTTATAAAATAGTCTATAAAAAATGATTAAAAAGGAAATTAGACTTAATGATTATTTTTTTATAAATAGAATAATAAATACGATAAAGAGAGAGATAGTAAGAGAGAGAGATTCTTCTAATAATTACTTACAAAATAATTCTTAAAATCTTGCAACTAATGATATAAATACATATTAAGAAAATTAATCAATTAAGACCAAAAAAACTTCTTTTTTCTACATCACATCTTACATAATAAATTTCTTATCTATAAAAAAATATATTAGACAAAATTTTATAATATAATTTTAAATTCTTAAATTCTATTTTATCAAAGCTTATAATTGTATCTTAAAAATTTTGATTTAAAGATATGGAAACTTTAAGCTTTAATTAAGAATTCATTAAAATAAAAATAAAAATAAAAAACTACATTCATTAAAATTAAAATTACAATCATTATTAAAAGATGTTTTTCTAAAGGTTTTTACAGTCAAAAAAACAAAAAAAAAAAAAAAAAAAAAAAAAGAAAAAAGACAAAGACAAAGTTTTCTACTAATATCCTATCTATTTCTAATAATTAAAGAGATCTAAAAATTTAATACAAAATCTATTGTAAAACTAGAGAAGTTCAAATCTTTTTTTTCTTTCATGTAGGGATTGAGCATTTTATTATTAATTAGTATGCTAAAAATTCAACTATCACATGAAATAATAATAAATAAAACATGAATTAAGTTCTAAAAATCATTTTAGTATTCAATTCTTCTTATATACTTAACATTAATTGGCATAGAAGGCAATGTAAACTAAGTTCTAAAAACCATATTGATATTCAATCCTTCTTTAAGGCTTAATTTTAATTGGCATAAATCCAATGTAATATGATGTACTAGGGCATCTAAACATCTATAGACAAATATATATATATATATATATATATATATAAGAACATTTTTAAAAAGATCAAGTTTAAGTTTTTTAAGTTTTTAGATACCTTTTTTATATTAATATAGAATCTCAAATAATTAATAATATACTTATATAAAAAAAACATAATAAACCTTGAAACATTAATATTCAATTGAAATAAATATGACTACTCAATGTCCAGCAAGAAACCTCTTTTAAGTAAAAATGAATAAAAGTAAGACAAAGACAATAATAGCTTGGCACATGGCTAATTGGTATATTATAAAAAAACATCTTAATCTTCTAAATCCTAACATGGCTCTTATTTCTTTGCTTATTAAGTAGATATTAAAAGTAACCATGATAAAAAAAATCCAACATTCTTATCATAATCAAGTTTAAAATAAGTCAAACATATTATAATAACATTCTAATGAAGTAGGATATATATATATATATATATATATATATATGTATTTATATTGATAATCAAACATATATCTAAACTTGCTTCTAAAAAATCTAAAATTAAAAACTAATTATAATTATTGGTAAGAATTTAAAACATATATATATATATATATATATATATATATTTTAATATTCAACTACATACTTCAGTTTAATAAGGAACTCTAATTAATGAGTAATTTTGTAATTTATAATTCTTTTTATCTTTATAAAGCTTGTATGAAGAAAATTAAGTATATTTTAGGCCATAAAATCCAACTTAATATGAATTGGTTTGAAATTAGATTGAAATATGACCTACATTCTATAGAAGAGCCTTAATAGATACTTATCTCGTATAATATCTTAACACCTTACATTCTCACTCTTTGTGACTATCTTATTTTATCAAAATTAATAATTAGATAATAACTATTTGAAATTAAGAATAAATAAGGTCCAAAAGATTTATATTGTGGCATAAAAAAATCTACGTATTCTAAAAATATATGCATTTAAAGTAACTAATTTGATGAAAAGATATATGTGGAAATATTTGGAGAAAAAAATTAAAACCTAGCATTAGTAACCATAATGCACTTTGTCTTCTAAAAATAATCATGTATGTCATTTAGTTTTTTTAGAAGAATATGGCAATGCAACAAATATATAAGTGAAGCATTAGCCTACTTTATCAACTATGTTTATATTAAATTTTCTATAACCTATGTCTTGTTTTTATTTTCTAATAAGTAATATTTAGCAAAGACATCTCTTAAGTCCAAGATGTAAAAAAGATTTTTTTTATTATTATTATTAATGCATATTTAGGGAGTAAAAAGTCCCTAATTTAAAAAATGTTACTAAAGAAAAATTAGTGATATTATATTGTTTAAGATAATGTAAAAATGTAAATAAACAAAAACATTTGGTATACAATAATTATATATATATATATATATAGATTGATAGTTTGGGTAATTGAGATTAAAATTGGTATAATATAATTTGACAAAATTCCATCTCCAAAGGTACATATATCTCACCTATTCCTAGAGACTTGAACTTGGTTCTAGCACTATGTAATCTTTTTATTCAATTAACAGCATGGAGGTAAAATAAAGTAAATCAAAAGTATTGTTCGTATGAAAATTGGCTTGACAACGGGATCTCATACGATTGAGTGCGGCAACTTTACTAGCTTTTCACTCAGTCAGTGAAAGCTTTTGTCAATCAACAATCTCACGATACTAGCAACAGCCAGGACTTCAGGAATTTTCACCGAAAAGCTGTGTTGACATTGCTTGAGGCGGCTGACGTTGCTGGATGTTTGTATATTAAATCTCTTCCGATGATTCAGTTGCACGTCTCGAAGGACTTTTGGAATGTGCAAATTTAGATGAATATGAAGAGTATACTTGAACTCTATTTTACACCGAAACATCCTTGCATCCCGCAGCAAAGGTTTCTGGGCATTCAATAATTTACTTTCCGTTGTCAATGAAGAATTATTTCCAGAAAATGAAGCCCTGCCATTCAACGTGAGACACTTCGTGGACTGTAAGCTCAGCACCTGCCATGGAGCCGTTCCTAGTTCTCGTGCTGAAAACACTAGATTAATAGATTAGTGTTACCTCGGATTAGAAACAAGGCCCACCCTTGTCTGGGTTGGTGAAAAATGCGACTGTGGCTCAGCAATTGAGAAGAAACTCTTTAAGTCACTCTTCTGTTTGTAAAATACATTATTTAAAGTAGTTATTTGGACCCAGCAGTGCAAATTTTTGTGAATATTTATGTCATCGGTTAGCCTATAACTCTTATCTAACGTTCTTGGATCGTTTCTCAGCAGCACGCCTCCTGTGCAGGAGGTTTTGTGAGTGCTTCAGAACAGACCAGTTTTTGAAACATCGTAGAAGGTTTGTGTGTAGATTTTTGTGTTGTTGAAAGAATCCTACCACCACGGTTACTTAGCTCACCTACTCCAAATTAGTCAGACGCAATATTCGATCTCACGCACTCATCAGGACTGACTGGATTGGGGGGAACTGGTGTTGTTTTGTTTGCCGCAGATCAATTCCTAGACAACGTCACACATTTGCACCGTCTTTAGCGGCCCCCGTTACTGAAAATTATTGACCATGGATAGATTTGTGAGAGGATGTGACAATGTTGTACTTTGTCTGAAATATCGATTTTCTGCATTCCTAAAACTTCTGCTCCTCTTTGCACTACTCAATCCAGTCCACAGTCTCCGACGAATGAGCACCCCCAACCTGGCGTCCATGCGCATTGGCATCGCCGGATTACAACTCAAGGAACTAAGACGTGCACACATAGGGCTGGAACAGCATTGTCGATTGCAGGTTGAAGCAATGCAAGGCGCCTTGCGAGATTCCAGCAAGAAAGTCTTTGATGATCCCAATGGGGCTCGTCGGGAGCTCGTCAGAGTGCAGAAGTTGGTCCAGACCTGTAACTTGAATCTGACCGCAATCGGTCAGCACTTGCAGTCTCACGATCTGCTTGCCAAAGTCGGTCAAAGCGTTGCCTCGGCGGAGAGTCTCATTGATCAAAGCGAGATAACAGGCCCTCTCCCCTCTCCGCAAGTAGAGAGTGTTAATGACGAAGCCAGCGAGTCTGTCTTCGAAACAGAAGGGTCGGCGCCAAGTACATTATCCTCTAGAGTCTCTGAAGATCGCAACTCTCGACAGACAGGCCTCACTCCTTCGATTAACAACCTCGGCCCATTTCCAGTTCCGCCGAAGTTCGAAATGTCCATGAGCGAGTTGGTCGTGGATTTCTGCTCCAACCATGTTATTCGCACCCTATCCACCGCGATCATCCGCCTCGATCGCAGCTGCGGCGGAAAATTCCACACGACTGCGAAGTACACTTCCGGCGTGTTCACCATCCGGATGCGCGCTCCCGCAAACGCACCTGGCATGATAAACAGTTTTTACATTTCCTCAAACGATGGAGCGCTCGATATGATAAGCTTCGATTTTGTCGGCAACCAGCCAAACCGCGTGCTGACGGCTTATGCCGTGAACGGAAATCATGAGCAGAAACTCAAAACTTTCCACATGGATTTTGACACCACAGCAGAGTTTCATCAATATACCATCAAGTGGGACAACGAGATGATTGTTTGGATGGTTGATGATGTGGTGCTGCGCACACTACGTGCTTCCTGTGTGAAGGATTACCCTACCAAGCCAGGTCACATCTTTGGCTATTCGTGGGACGCGTCTAGCTTGAACGACGGCGCCATGGCAGGGCGCATGAACTGGCTAAATGCGCCGTATTTCATGCACTTCAAGAATTTGCAGGTGACGTCGCCTCTGAGGCGTGGAGATTGGGTTCCACCCCAGCAGAAAAACGTTCAGAGAACCTCTACGAATTCAATCCGCCCTTTCGTAATCGATTATTGCCCTTGGAGCGTCGCCGCGGATGCCGAACATGATGTGGACATCACCTTCGACAAGAAGGGATGCGGGGGCCGTCTCCGGAGCTTGAATTCGTATCCCTCGGGGAAATTCAGCTCTCGCATCAAGTGCGCGGAGGGGGATACCAGTGGCCTGCTTACCAGCTTTTACGTCTCTTCAGGGGAAGGCACGATCACACAAGACGAAATAGACTTTGAGTTTCTGGGAGACAACAAGCGTATCGTGCAGACGAATTTCTACGTGAACGGAACGAGTGACAACGAGCAGTGGGTAGAGCTCGACTACGACTGCTCCTCGGGGTTCCACACTTATGCCATTCATTACGACCAGCATCAGATCAAATGGTTTGTGGATTCGAAACTGGTGAGAACCGTCGTGAAGGAAGACCAATTGCGGGAGAGGCTTCCATACCCCACGAAAAGAATGTTTCTGTACTCGTCTGTGTGGAATGCCTCCTTCGTGAACGATGGCGGGTGGACAGGGAAGTGGCACGGCATGGGAGAGCTGCCGTTTGTTGCGAGATTCAAAGACGTAGTGGCTCAATACTTTTCGAATGAATGATTGACGCAAGCGCGGCAGTTGTGATATGCATATGAGATCTCTACGGTGACTCTTATGTATACTAGTGCTCGATGGACCTCGAGATGGTCCAGATCATTAAATTTTGATGACGCCATGAGACACTGAACCAGGGCTGCGTAGCTGCGTCGGAAGAGACATGTGTCGCGGTGCATCTCTGCTGTAAGGTATGTAGATAAGTGGCCAGACTATATTAAAAGCAGAGATGATGTCTGGCTTGCTCCGAAGTTCAACGATGGCAATATGTTGCAAATATCAATGTTGCTAGCTGGCGACTGTCCAGCGTACACTGTATGTATGTATAGCATGGTTGGTGGGGGAACATTCTCAGAATTTAATTGTAAATATTAGTAAATGTTTTGAAATTTAGTAATTTGCAAAACGTTTATTTGTACCTAAAGTGCATAAAACTTAAAATATATTTATAAAGCAGTAGACTAGTATATAAGAACTACATGGTTTGGTCTATTAGTATTTTGTATGTTATGTAAGTGATCTAAGGCAAATATATCGATATACATATATATATATATATATCCAAGCATATACAAACAATAGTTTAAAAACAATACTGGTAAGTTGAGAAATGAATATTACTTGTTTCAAATGACCTTTCGATATCAAAGTTTCAAATTTTTCATATTTCAGATTTAAAATATATATAACGTACAATATTCTCTCATTATTTATTTTGAAAAAATATTAAGAATTATAAATATTAAAAATACATAGTGAGATATTTTTATCTAAATCTATCAGTTTATATTCAATTTATATTTAAGATGGCATAATATTTAAATTTCGTGATTTAAAAAATAAATAAATAAAAATCTAAATTTGATTTTTAAAAAATATAAATAATAAAACAAATAACTTACATCAAGCTTTTATTTTCTTTAAAAGTGTTTTGATAGTTAATTATTTTATTTTTAATTTTTTAATTTCATAATTTAACAATCAAAATATATATATATATATATATATATATATATATAAATCAATATTGGTTATATGAGGTATTAGAATAAACTTAATATATATATATATATATATATATATATATATTTGCTATAAAATATTTCTAAAAATTATGATATTTAAGTGTTGTAAAACATTTTTGGTGCATATTACAGAATTGGATGACTTTTACTCATTGGATGCCAAATAGTACATTTTTTAAAATTTTTACATTAAATCTTAAAATAATACACAAATATAAGAAAGAATAATATTAAACTACCATTGATATATTAGAAAATTACGAATTCATTTATTTTTTACTATAAATATAGCTTTGATAATATATATAAAGAGAGAAATAAAAGTTTTTTTTTTGGTAGTATAATCCAAGCACTATTAACTTCACCAAGAATATTTCATCTCTATCAAATTATAAGTTTAGTTTAATTACCATATAGATCCAATTGCTCTTGCATAAGTACTAATAATATTATTTATTTTTATTGGTTTATTTTTATGAAAATTACATAAAGCAACACTCTGTTTTCATATTACTCTTTTACCACTCTCAACTTTTAGAATTAATAGAATTTATTTCTTCTATTACCATGGATTACTTTATAAAATCTTTAATTTTAGTATTTATTTCAAGCCATTTCAATTTCATGCACTTACTATCTCCTAATTGATTTTATAACTTCAACTGATAATTATAGAATCATTTTTTATATAATGATTTTAATGAAACACTGTATAAAAATATTATATGTTACTTTAGTCTATACTTTCACAAAGATAAAAAGATAATAAACTTAAAATTCGTTCTATGATTTATGATTTAGATGTGGAATTATTTATAACAATCTTTGAAGATGCAAATATTTTTTTTACTATGGAAACAGTATAATTTAATCTTGTACAACCAACAACCATCACATGTAACTTGGTAAAAATATAAAAAATCTCGAACCAAAATTAAATTTGCATACAAAATATATTTAGGACTAAATAGGGGCCTTAATATAACTAATGCAAAAGATGTAAAAATAATTTAGAAAAAAATGAATAATTCAAGTTTTGCAATTAGAAGACTTCAAAATTTAATTTTTCTATCATGTTTTAAGTACTCTTGGCAAAAAAGAATTATTTAAAAATAATTAGTGATCTAGTTTTACTTAGACACTTCGAACCAATTGCAAAATGGTGCATTATACAAAAATATCAAAGAATAGTCCAATGTAAAGAATTAATAGACAAAAATAATATGTTATTAAATTAAAATAAGCATAATTAATTTTAAATGGTTCAAAACAAATGCTATTGGATTTTTTTTAAAACGTAGTTATAAATAGATTTATTTTATAACTATGTAATTAAATAATATTAATAAAAAATAATAGAAAATTGCTTCATGTTCTAAGAAATAGGTATCATGGTAAAATTTGGCAAAAGAACAAAAGAACAAAAGAACAAACTCTATGATTCAAAAGTTTTAAACATATGCAAATTTTCTTTAGATATATCTTTTGTAGACAATTTAGACACAAAGAATTAGTATAGCTTTTAAAAGTGATTTATAGAATGACAACTAGATATATTTGTTTTAAATAAAAATATTTATTTAAATAAATATGGATACCAAATCAAAAAATCAAAAAAATCAAAGATAAGAAACTAACAATTTATGGATTAGAATGTGGATAACAAAAGAAATCACAAGATGTATTGAAAGAATTCTTGTTGGATAGAATTATGGAGTTATTTTTATAAAAATGCATATATAAGTACTTGTGAATATATTAATGTAAAATATAAGTATATATATACATATATACATATATATATAGTTGTTTCTAAAGACTTGTGTAAAAAGAAGACCATGTTGTAAATAAAAACCATATCTTATATGAGTAATTAGTACTAATAGTTATTTTATTTAAAAAATATATCATTAATATAATTATATATAATATTATTTTTAAAAGAATAAAAAATAACAATAAAATACTTTTACACAAAATTGAAGTGAGCACCAAATAATTAGATTTATGTTTACTCCATAAACAAATACTACAAAAATAAAAGTATTTTTGAATAAGGTGAGGAATAATACTACAAAGATTTGAATTTGTATTCTACTGGCTATTCTAAATTGCGATTTAACACTATAATTGGATTAGATTTTTAAATTTTTTTTAGTGAAATATTTTATATTACCCTGTGTTGTTTCATTCAAAATATTCTTTCAGATTCTATATTCAATCAGCATCTAACTTTAGTTAGAATGTACAAATATTTATAATATATTTTCCAAAATTTCTTTCGATGGAAATCATTGTGCAACATGTAGTGTTGGAAAAAACCACTGATGCCAACACAAATTAAACCCTATAACCTTAAATTCTAAAATCTTCAACCCTAAACTTTATCCTCAATCGTAGAAAGAGCGAATTGTTTTCAGAGGGGACCAAGACTAGATGAAACGCATCCGTCAACGAAGTGGACAGAGGCTGGACGTGAAGAAGTTTCGTCAACGAAGGGGCGGGGGCGGGTACCGTGGGTTGGACAAGAAGCGATTTCGTCAACCGGCATCACGAAGGAATTGCGCTTGGCCAGGCAGAAGAGCTCGTTGCGAACAATGCCAGAGAGCAATCTCGGGCGACCAGTTTCGTGGGCAATTAAACAAACTGGACCCGCATTTAAGTTGATCTTGGTGACCCATCGCATTTGTTACGGCACGAGAATCCATCAATTCTTAGCTGTAGATCTTGGTGACCCATCTCAGAGATCATCCTTTGCCCCCCAACACATCCCCCCCCCCCCCCCCCCCCCAGTAGGTTTCTCTTGCGGCTCTTCTCTTGTTGCTCTCATGTGTGCACGGAGCCTCGAGCTGTAGATTTGTGCTTCGGAGCAAGGCCTTGACCGTTGCGTGCGGGGAGTAATGGCGCCTGCCTCTGATGCCCCTGGTGATGGAGAGAAGCGAGGGTTGATGGTTAACAACTCGCTCTGCAAGGAGAAAGTCCCATTTTTCACTAAGGACGGATCCCGGAATGGTGCGTGGAAGATTATGGATGGCTTGGCTTTTCGTTGGTGGCTTGGAGAAAACCTGAGTTTGAGGGGGTGTCTTCTGGCTTTGGAGAGTTTGAGGTTCTTAGTGAGGAAATTAGGGTTTAGGGTTTTGAAGTTTTGAAGCCCTGATGGAGTTGTGTGATTTGTGTGGCAGTGACGTGGTACATCTGCGGGCCAACTGTGTACGACTCATCCCATGTCGGACACGCGAGAAATTATGTGACTTTTGATATCATTCGACGGATACTCGAGGTATGATCGAGCCTCGCAGTGTAGTGGTGTGGTGGTTTCAAGGGTTTTATGGTGGGTTGTCGTGGCGAAGAAGCTCACGCATTCACGTGCTTTGCAAGTACAGGATTATTTTCACTACAATGTGAAGTATGTTATGAATGTCACCGATGTGGATGACAAAATTATCAATCGCGCGAGGAGAAATTATCTCATGGACCAATATCGCAGTGGTGCAATTGATTTGAATAAGGTGCGTTCTTTCTTCTGGGAATCACTCGTTGTGCTTACTGCTCTTTTCAATAGTCGTGTGAGTGTTGGTATTGGTTATTCCCAAGTATGGTTGTGACGGGGGTTGATTTGGACCCAGGTGATTGAAGACTTGGAACGTGCTATGGAGGAAGAGCTGGTCAAGCAACAGAAAAAGGTTTCTTTACTTTTGTGGAGCAATTTTCGATTGGATTGCGAGGTTGCTTTAAATAGAGTAAAACATCTCTTGGCATTGTGATTTTGCTAATTCTTCTTTCTTCTGCATTGAACTTGTCGCAGATATCAGATACAGAAGGAGGGCTGGAGAAAGCCACCTCGTCGAGACAAAAAGACGACTTGGCAGATGTGAGTGGCTTGGACTTGTATTCCTTAATGCAGCAACGTTGAGATTTATCTTCTAAGCACTGGCATTCTTGCAAATCAGTTCTTTTTAGTTCTAGTTGCGTGAGACATGAAATCATTGCGTTTGGATCTTACAGAGAGTGAAGCAGGAGCAGTTAAAAGTCACTAAGATCAACGAGGCAAGGGATTTGCTACAAGGTCAAAAAGAAGAAGCTAGGAAGTTAGGAGGAAAGGAGGGAATTAACATGCTCCTGGGAGGGAGTGCGGCTGATAGTTTGGCATCTCAATTGGATGCTAGGCTTGGGGCAACAGTAACAGATCACGCTATTTACAAGAGTCACACTCTCAAGTACTGCACTCATGAGCTTAGTTTAATTTAATCTTTTAAAAGCTTGACTTTAAAAGAATAAGGGACGCGACCCTCTTTCTATTGTTGTGTGCCCCTCCAGTCGTTATATTTGGAATGTATTGCCCCCCCCCCTTTTTTTTTTTCACTTAAGTTCTTTTCCCACAACAAACGAATCCTTAGGAAGAGATTTTCTGGAAGTTAGATGTCCGGTTCGCTAATTGACAAGTATTGTTCATTTGTGTATGAATTTAGGTATGAAAACGAGTTTTGGGATGATATGACAGCCTTGGGGTGCGGCTATCCCGATGTACTTGTGAGAGTGACTGAGTAAGTATCATCAGACCCAATTGTTTGAGTCTAGTCTGTGGTATTTGTATTTGTCATGGGGTAGATATTCACAACAGAACATTTTTAGAAGTTGATTCAGGAATCTGTCTTTTGCATTGTGTGAAGATTTGTAGAGGTAACACTTCTCCATGTTAATCCGGAGTTTAACGTCTTTGTATGAATAGTTAGATCTATCCCTTTCCTTTTTCTTCTTAGAGGACGTCAAGTCTTGAATTTGCGAAAGTACATTAGGACCTGAAGATACAAGTAAACAATTTGCTTGCGACAATGGAATGCAGTGGTATCTGACTGTAGAGGAATGGCGTGGTCACTATCTGTGGCAGGTATATGGATAAAATTATTGAATACGTGGAAGTCGTTTTGGCAAATAAATTTGCTTATGTGGCTAATGGGAGTGTTTATTTTGACACCAAAGCGTTCAGGTGTGTCATTCTACTTCTCATAAATTTTCTAGAGCTTCCGCACAGTGATTACTAGACGGTCTGGGGGAAGAAGTGCTAGGTATCGAGAACAAGTTTGATCTGCCGATAGATTTTTCATTTGAGATTGCATGTTGATACCGTTATTTTGCGACGGTTTGTGGAAATCTCTATGTATGGATTATAAAGTTCAGAACATAGGCGAGTAAAAAAAGAAAAGAAAAGAAAAGAACAGAAAGAGGAGAACATTAAATCTCTCCTTCTCATTGCAGAGAGGCAGGCCACCAGTATGGAAAGTTGAACCCAGCTGCTGTCGGCAGCTCATTGCTGGCCTCTGAGAGTGAGTCAAATTTTGAGACTTCTGAAAAAAGAACCAGCTGCGATTTTGCATTGTGGAAGGTGGGTCTATTTTACGAATCATTTTTTCTCAAATTTGATGTCTGTTCCGGAGAAATCAGATATTGGAAAGAAAAGAGTAGAACACTTTGTTATATATTAATAAAACACATTTAATGGTGTTCCACATGAATTCTTAGCTTTCGTATGCGGCGATTTCTCAATATTGTACCGTATGAATGTTGCAGAAAAGTAAGCCTGGAGAACCTGCATGGGAATCCCCTTGGGGTTTGGGACGCCCAGGTTGGCACATCGAGTGTTCTGCAATGGCCAGTGATATACTGGGTGATAACATGGACATTCATTCTGGAGGACAGTGAGTGACTTATATCTGACCTTTTTTTTTCTTACATCTAAGCTGCAAATGACTTTTTCGTTTTTCAATCTATTTTCAGTTTTACTTCCACAACACATATTTGTTGTCGGATAGTTCCACCCTTTTCATTTGCAATCTTATCATTGATTTTATGAGTAAAGTTTATTGGTCACTTGGCATCATCTGGCCAGCAGATATTGAACCTTAACTTTGCTTTGACTTTGTAGTGATTTGCAGTTCCCACACCATGACAACGAGCTGGCTCAATCTGAGGCGTACTTCCACTGTCATGAAGTATATGCTCTCCCTCTTCTACTATTATGTGTTCTTTCCAAATGTGCATTTATTGAAATCACCTTCTCCGCAATGAATCTCGTTAACTAAATGATGGTATTACATCTGATGAAGATATGATATTAACCTCGTTTTCTTATAACTTTAAAGAAATCACTCCTTTCAGTGTTATATGATGTATTTCCACTCGCCTCAGTGTACAATGGAATGATCTAGGTTTCTGGGCCGTGTAGCCTTCGCTTGGAGTAACTAGTGAGAGGATTTGCAATTTTTGCACAATGTTGCATATGTGAATGTCTGGCTGTCATGAGTGCAGTGGGTCAGATACTTTTTTCACTCTGGACATCTGTCTATTGATGGGTTAAAGATGTCGAAGTCTTTGAAGAACTTCATAACGATTAAGGAGGTAAGGACTTCTTTCGTGTTCTTAGTTGTTTTGACCTGGTATCTCTACTGGAGTTGAACGACATCGACTTTTTCATTGCCTGCCTGTGCACATTTGTGTGTGATGAAGTGATGTCCCTCTCAGAGAGTTACGGTTGACTTAATTCGAGAATGTGATGTTTTTGGGACCAGGCACTGACAAAATATACAGCAAGACAGCTACGTATGCTTTTTGTTATTCAAAGTTGGGACAAGGTATTCATCACTGCGGAATTTGTGTATTATATCTTTCAACTAAGATATGTACCTATGAATTACGTAAAGTTTGCACCATGTGATTCTGAAGTGTGCAATATTCAACTAATCCAAGGAGTTACCAAGTTGCAGTTAGACATATTCTGATCTTCTTCTTATTTTCTTTCTGCAGTCGATAAATTTCAGTACAACTGTTGTGAACGAGGCTCTACAAAAAGAGAAACAGTTCAAAAATTTCTTCGCTAATGTGGAATCTTATTTGAGGCAGCATGTACGTGCACTTCCTGGTTCTGCAGAACTTGATTTTCTGCTTAGTCTTTCTAGAAAGACTCTGGTGACTGAATCTCTTTGTTTCTATGTAGTAGGCTACTTATTGTGGCATGCGCTGGTAAGTGTAATGAAGTAATACTGATATTTAGTTTCTGTTAAATAAGCAATTGATCGCTGGTTTGGAATAGTCATCCAATATTGCCACTGTTCTATTGTTAAATGATAAACGAAGTTCTCACACCATCTAGCATTTATGCGGCAGCCAATGGCGGGAATTCAAAGGCCAGGAGATGATGAGAAGCAATTGTTCAGCAGGGTGGACCAAGCACAAATCATGGTAGGTTTATTCTTTCAACTCTCGCGGTGTTCTATGCTATTGAATGTCCAATGTTTTTCCGTCTGAAGCTATTATCATCTGATCCCGAAGTGGTAATTCATTATCTTGTAGTTTGCACACACACACACACACACACACACACACACATATATATATATATATATATATATTCAGCATGCTATTTGCATTGTTCTAAGTATTTTACTCCGTCACAGGTGCGGGAACGTCTAGAAGACAACTTTGATACCGCGGGTGCTGTTACAGAATTGCTTACCTTAGTCAGAGATGTGCACTCCTACATTGACAAGTGCAAGTCGGTAAGTCAGATTGGTTCCTTGAGGGAGTTTTCTTCTGATGCTTCTACATATAGTTGTGGCGTCATTTCCACTTTTGCTGTACATATGCTTTTACGCAAATTCTCTTATGCTTTCATTCTGTTATTTTAAATTGTGAAAGGTGTGAGTTAAGAGCAATTTAGGATTGTTTTTGCTCTAATTTTCTCGCTGCAGGCAAATGGAAAACCGCAGCCTTCGCTGTTGAAAAAAGCTGCGATTTTTGTGACGAAAATTCTTGTTGTGTTTGGTAAATTTTCCATTTCTCATTGACTGAAATTCATGGTTTCAATGTGTTAACATTTTTGGAAGTTGGACAAGGATGGAACCGAAAAATTGGAATCGGATACTAAAATTTGGTCAAGGTCCTTCGTGTGGTTGGTCATAATTGTGATGTTTCTTCCGTGCTAAATGTGTTGGTGCATCTTTTCTGTATCACTTTCTATTATGAAATCTTACTATTTGAGAGCACGGAACAGAGGCTTGCTTTAAGTTGAACAGGTATATTTATTTGCTTGACTGACCATTGAACTGGTGTTGGCAGGTTTGTCGGATGCGAAGAACGACGAGATTGGCTTCGGCAGTACTACAAGCCAATCTGGCTCAACTGGCAATCTTACAACTGTTGTGGTATGTATATGAGATTCTCTCTAAGACCAAGTGGAAACATGCCACTTTGACACCAAAAGTTAGTAAACTCTTTTCGTATCTTGTTCTTGAGTAAAATCATTTGTATAAGTAGATTTTGATTTGGTGGATGTTCAGGCTCCATATGTGGATGGATGGGTGTCACTTCGTGACAGTGTGAGATCTGCTGTCAAAAGTAATGCTTCTCAGGTACTATCTTTTTACCCTGGAGTATAATTTGATGTTCCTTAGCATCTTTTAATGGATTGAGATTACTGACCCTTACACGACGGCTGGAGATAATATAATCGAGCAGAAAATGAAGGAAAGAGGAGTCTAGCTAAGAATTTTCAATGTTGAGGTGCACTATGAAATGTAGCGTAATTACTGGTCTTGGAACTTTCTATTTCATGGGGACAGCGGAATGCAGTTTAGATTGGTGCTTTTCAGAAAGACAGACAATTTGGTTTGTTGTCACCAGGCAAAATTGATGGAGCTAACCGATAAAGTCCGGGATGAAGACATGGTTGATGCCGGAGTATGTGTTGTGGATGAGGGCAACACATCTACTTGGAGATTAGACGACCCACAGGTGTTACAAAGAGAGCGTGATGAACGAAGACTGAAGGTGAAGGAGGAGAAATTGCGTGTCCTTCGACAGAAAAGGCTGCAGAAGGTCTTTTTCAATATGTTCTCTTATCAATTATTCGGCAGTTGGAAAACAAAATCTTCCAAGTATTCAAGTCTGGTGCTTTTACAAATTCATGTTTAGGTCGTTTTCCTACGCGGTTCATCGTATGTATTAATATTTAAGACTCTTGGCAATCATCGTTCTTGTTTTGGCAGCTTTTAAAAGTGGCTATTCACGAAAACGTCTATTTTTTCTGTATACCTTTCTGCTCTATTCACCTTTGTTTATTTGACAGGCGAATTTGCTTGAAAAGCATGAAGCATCTTCCACTTCACCACAAGAAATCTTCAAGACCAAAGACGAGTACAAAGACTTTGCTTTTGATGAGCGTGGTGTACCCACTCATGACAAGGGCGGGAAAGAGCTGCCAAAGAATGCGAAGAAGGTGTGCTCTTCCTCTGATACTTTTGTAGTAGTATTACTACTAAGCTTTTTTGACGCAAGGAATTCAGCTGTTTCAGCCAAGCATTTTGTCATCGATGTACTTAACATGAAGCTGAAAGGATCCTGATAAAATCGATCGTTATTTCCCTGCAGAAATTTGAGGCAGCTTACAAAAAAGCTGTAACTGATCACGAAAAATTCAAAGACAGCTTGGTGAAAGATCCGCATTTTTTACAGAACTTGCGGGCGGAATTGCAGGAGATAGTTTCTCAAATTCTACGATTAGAACAAGATAGATAACATCTATGACCATTATTCCATCGGATGTTTTATGTTCCTATTTGACGTTGGAGTTAGAGATCCAACACAACAGTCTCTTACAGTCAGATTTGCATAGAATGCGTCCATCTCTGGATTGGTCATGGTCATCATCTCGCTGGTCATGGATTCATGATCATGCGCATGGTCATCATCTCGCTGTCCATTCCTATTGTTTCGAATAATCTACAGTCCCATTCATTGCATGCGATTCTACCATATCTTAACTCAGGTATGAATCTCTGGATTGTATGCAGTTTCCAATTGCCCATTATCGAAACTTGCGATATGAGAGGGTTGGTCACCGTCTATCTAGATTTAGTTCTTGGCTTGAGCCCAATTCCGCAAGTAGTTGTCAGTTGGAGAAAAGCACGTTCTGTTCTTAAAGTAGTCGGCTCTGCAGATACGTTTTAATTATTGAATTATGTCAGTATTGGGAAGGCAACAGGTCCTTGGGAACAATAAGAATACGAGAGTTGCAGTTATATTAACTTAATGTCCCGAGAGCTACTTCTTTTTTGCTCTCGATGATGGATATGGACATGCCTGCTCTATGCTTAGTTGTACCATGGATGGAACGAATTGTTGCTAATCTCATATACGCTTTTGAGAACAACTTTTACAGGATGATAAATGACGACATGAGATTAATATGGACTGTTAAAGAGTTCTAGATCTCCCCTCAGATTCACAAATACATTCGTATCATTTTCTATGACTCGTTAGGGGTTACAATAGCTGAGAAAATACTTGATAGATTTTCTAAAAGACGGTTTAAGTCACAATTTGGTTTCTTTACAATCATGTCAGTAATGTATCTACGAAATTGTTTCGACCGCTAACTGTACTCCGATTAAACCACAACCTCTGGCAAAAGTACTCTGTACAATTCGGCTGCCACAATGTGTTCGCATGATTTGTAGTGAATATGGTAGATTCCTCAACTTGATCCAGCACACCATTTCTCATTACTCGAATCATTGGTTCCAGCCTGGTGGTTGTGGGGAGTGTTGATGCTCGCTATTTGCAACGGAGCAGCCGTATGGTGAGCTCAATACTGGAAAAAGTAGCGGAGGTGGGACGTCGAGTGCAATTGGCTCAGTCTTTGACATTCAGGGCAGCAGGATGCTTCTGAGGACGTGGATAATTTAATCGTCGGTTTGCTTAAATCTCGATGACATGTGCGAACTGAGCCGCACCAACTAAACCAGCTGGTCTGGTGAGGCTCCCCCATTCACTCGTACACCTCTTTGTTACGCTTCTGTCAGCTGGCTTGTACAAAAATGTGCCATGACCAAGCTCTTCGCTGCTGTGAGATGGCCCTGTGATGAAGAGCGCCTCGTCTAAAGCAGCTACACAAATAGGGTTTACTTCACTGTCTGGAATTGATTCCACAACTGACCAGGATGCAGTTGTGACATCATACCTGTGGAGATTTTTCCCATTTAAAGTGTACAATCTCCCATACATGACTGCGAAGGGACCAGCTGGACGCGAAGTTTGCATCTCCATAGACCAGAAGCCTTCAAGCAACGTCCATGCGTTCGCTGATGGATTGTAGACTTCGGCACTCTGGGAGAATTGGCCCTGGCTGGTTGAAGAATAGCCACTGACAACGTAGAATTGCCCATCGAGGCATATACCTGTTGATTCGTCTCGCTCCTCGTGCATTGACGCGAGGGGAGCCCATTGGTCAGTCTCAACATTGTAAACTTCAGCTGATTTCAGTGCGACTTTATCATTATCGTGTCCTCCTGCGACGAAAACGTAGTTCTCCACAACTGAGCATGCAAAGAATGAACGACTCGTTGGCATAGGAGCTTTCCTAGACCAGGTTTGAGTAACAAAGTTGTAGATGTACACTGATTGTAGAGTCTCATACGTAGAGGGATTCCATCCGCCAAGAACAATCAGCTTTCCGCCCACAGCGACCATTCTGCAATAACCCACACAGTAGACGTTTAGTTCCTGTTCAGCTGAAAATTAGCCAATCAGTAATAGTAAACTTCGAATTCAAAAACCATTCAATTCTGTGGCACAGCTCCCTGAGGTAGACTGAAATTGAAGTCAGAGTTTCAAGGACCAAACAAAAAAGAATAGAAAGAAGAAAAAAGAAAAGAAAAGAAAAGAGATTGAAGGCTGGCTAGAGACTTTTTTTTTGTTTTTTTTTTTTATTAAATGATCATGTCGTAACATACTCAAACGCAAGGGAATGAGAGACAAAGGACACTGCTAGACGAGCTGCCAAAAGCTAAATTTACTGAAAGAACAAGACCTTAGGACGACCGGGACGAAGGGACTGCACTAATGAAAACCATGAAAGATGACATAGGAGATCACGATCTAGCTGGCGCTGAGGAACAAAGTCTTACCGGCCGACAATCGGGAGGCCTTCGGGAAAATCGGGAATAGGAGAGAGACGCTCCCACGTCCGTTGCTGCACGTTCAAAACGTTAATCCCGAACATGGGCGAGTGCTTCGTAGACGAGGAAGAGCCAGGGGTTTTTGCTGCCAACGACGGTGCAGAGAGGGGCTCCACGACTTGCATAATGCACAAGAGCTTCTCGCTTGTGCCACTGCGTTTGCGCTCTTGATAATACCACGGGCTGTTGACGAGCTCATTCCATCTTCTGGAGACTTGCTGCAATTGCGCGTGCGACTGGGGCTGCACGCGCAGCAGGCACTGCATAGCGACGTCGTCTGGGAGAGCTGGTATGAGTCCATCGTCCACAGTCATGGTCTTCTCGAAATTTCTGTAACTCATTTTGCAAAAATGCTTGAACCACTGAACTATCCCGCAAAACAGATCCAATTTCCAAGCTCCGAACACTCAATTTAAGCAGTTACCACTACAAACGTTTGCACTATTCGAAACATTTTTAGAAAGCGCTAGAAAATCGTTTCACAGGACACAACTCCAAATAGAAACCACCCTCGGACTTCAAACTACCTCGATCACTTCCAACTGAAACTATAATGCCAACGGATTTGTTGCCCTTATGGTTTGATTCCTTTACACGCCTAATATCATAATCTTCAAAGCTACTCCAGACGGAGACCTCACGATTGGACAAAAGATTCACGTTCCCAGACAAAACAATACCAAAAGAACTGCAACCCTCGAGATTTTTTACAGTAGCAACGGTTACAACCAAGAGTATGCAAAGAGGATAGCTATTACAAAATGTAGGCAAAGGTGTACTCTTAGGAAATCCCGCAAAAATGTAACAAAGCCTGTTCTTCGGAGAAAAATCGAACTAAAGCGGAGCATTATACTACGGTGCCAAAGGACGTTCGTTATAACGGATGAATGATAATGCCCTACTTGCAAGCAAATGGATGAATAACGGTTCAGTTTGAACAGCATTGGAACTGAAGGGCCTGGCTGAGCTGGCGTGGGGAGAAGGGCGATGAACACGATTGTGTGCACGTGGATTTGTACGGTAGATGAAAGGAAAGCACCTTTGATGCACAAACATATCATCTAGATAACTGTTGGATATTGTATGGATGAATAAACCTTACAAATCCCTAAGTCCACGTAGGACGGCCAGCTCCGCGTAGGCTTTATAGAACGCTTCCAGAGATATGGATGGACTGGGATAAGATTCCACGTGGGTCCGTCTATTCTCACTTGTGCTGAGTAAACAAAGTGCACTGGAACTCCCTTCGAACTTTACTGTTCTAGACAAATAAATAAACAACATAAGTGATGTATTTTGATGTAAATCTCAGATTATATGGGTTTCTTCTGCTTCGTTTATATTTTTTCCACGGAAGTCTAACAGTGATTAAGTGAAACTGTTTATTTTTAATATTTTGTGCATCAAACATTTAAAATTGTAAAATTTCATGAACAACATCTCAACCTCTATTTTTCACTGCAGTAATTACTAATTTCGCACTAATTCCATGATATTTTTATGATTTTAATTTTAATTTTTTTGAAATATTTTAATTCTTGCATGTATTTGCACAAATTTTAAGATGCTTGCTATGGAACGCCACCTGGAATGTTTTGGCGCGAAGGATAAAACGCCACCTGACTCCCCATTCAGTGTTGGAGGAAGCTTCGGCGGGGTTCCTTTGACGCCGATAAGTTCGATCCAGAAACTCCCCCCTTGCAGAGGCGATTGAGCACATCGACCTTTGCCCTTTTCTGCTCGGTGATGACGGTGCAGTGTTCCTCAAAAGTTGTGCTATCGGCTGCTGCCATGTTGCTTGCTTGGCTAAGGCTTTCTCGAACCTTGGCCCCGCTCCCTTTGTGACCCTACCACGCTGCGCTTGTGAAGCAGCAAGCCACAACTCCAGAGCGCCGCGTAGCTACTTCTCGGATACAGCACTGGGCGGCTTCTCAAGCTGGAGTTATTTTGCCACTCACTCTTGCTCTCACATTCGAGGGAGGCGAGAGCCTTTGTTTTCTTCGATCTTCCTTTGTTGCTTGCCGCTCATCACCAAGATCGTCCAACCTCAGGTCGAGGAGTTCACTGTTTCTCGCCTGCAACCTTGTCTCCAGTCCGACATTCAGTTAAAGAATCCGCCAGCAGATGGGACAAAAAGCAACGGCAGGGGCTGTTCGGATTACGGTCTGAGGTCAACAATGTTAGAAAAGTTTTCAGATGTGCGGAACTCAATTGAGGTGCATCAAGGGAGATTCTGATGTGGTTCGGATGTAGGTGTTGAAGTGGTTAAGATAGTGCATACATTATGGGCTCAATACATTGCAATGGAGAGTTACTTTCACCTTCCTATATTTTAAATGATTAAAAAAAAAAACCCATAAATGTATTGAATGAGTGTCTCTTTTAAAAGGAAGGAAGGTTTAGTCTCTGAAAAAGATGAGGAGTTAAAATAATTAAAGAACACATGAAGAGAAAGGAAAAGAATTAAATACATTTTATTGTTGACCACAAGTTTGTAGAAAGTTTGTATCATGTTTATGTAGCATTCACATAGAGTTTGTTGGAGAAATCTTTAAAGCAAAAGATGTCTCTAAAGCATGACTGAAACTTAGAAGGGATAGAATGCCTTCGCAGCGGTTAGTGTATAAATAAGTTATTTGGTTGAAACCGCTACAAGAAAGCTGGAGAGAAATGATATGGTGCTTGGCCATCTAATTATTGGATTTATGGGTAAGACAAAACCTAAGATTGTTATTGTGACATTCATTTGTTATGGTTCACGGTACATTGTCATTATTATTATTATTATTATTATGATTATCATCATTGCTGGAATCGTGTGTCACGCAATGCATCTCTAAATTGTAGAATTCAGAAGCGTAGACAACTCTTTTAGATGTAGCACAGAGTTTTAGTAAAAAATTCGTTAAAGCCATGCTGAAATCCAAAAATGTTGCATTCATAGTTCAACGCTTGATTCTTTTTAAAAAACAATAAAAATATCCTTGCTTGAGAGATGTTGGCCATCAATCAAAAAACGCATCTCAATTTTGAATTGCATTTTTTTTCAGCTCAATTGCACAAGTTTTTGCTAGTCTGTACAATAGAGAAGGTCCAGCACGGCAGAAATGCACAACAAAACAATCTCCAGGTGATGTGGTGTGTAGAGCACCATGGATGCTGGATATGGGGTAGCTTGCAAGCTCTACATGAGGGATTACTCCTAATGGACTTGTTTAGTGGTTTGTATGATAAATAAGCTCTATTTCAACACAGTTGCTAATGGGTTGAAGTTACCAGGTCTATTCGGCCAAGACCGCTATTCCCTCGATAATGCCCAACTCCGCCTTTCGTTTCTGCGCACAAATGGCAGAACAAGAGAGCATTTAACAAGGTGGTCTTGATACATCCTACTCTTAAATCCGCCAATTTTACAGCATTAAAGAGACTTTCGGATTTTATGCTGTATGAAACAGTTTTCATGGGCAAATCTCATGACCTAAACTCCAGACGTTCCTTTCAAATGACTTCAAACGACATTCAGTAGAGTCGATGCGGCTTAAAGCACTTCAGATTTTATTACTTGCAACATCAAACCCCTGAGGGTTTTCATAGAAGAGATTTGAGACGGCAGAGTTTATCCTACCAAGTTACTAGAGGCAGACAATTTCGAAGGCAAAATTGAGAAGACTTTGAAGGAGGCAACGTAGATGCACGCATTTTCTACCCGACCTCGTGCATTCTGCAGCCACCGCATCCAAAATAAAACAACTTCATGGGACATACTGCATAGCTCGCAACACCATGAGCTCTTTCTCTAAGGAATCCGCGTGGTTCGACAGGGAAGAGTTTGCCTTCGTCAAGAGAACAATCTGCCGGCTGTGATGTTCAAGGGTCTCCGCGATACTGCGAATACACTGTCTGTGCTCCTCCTGCATTGTTGCTACTATATTCTTTAACTTATCTAGTTCAAAATTGTGCGGCTCCTTTTTGAGACTGAGACCTACGTGATCGGCTTGCCAAGATTCCCCCCGCGCTTGTCCTCGCAAAGGTTTGTGATTCCACTGCGTAGCATGAGATGTGTCGTTATAATTCTCTTCTTCTTCCGAACCTTGATTCAACTGCACTGGTTCTTTCGAAGTTTGTTGACTTGACATGGTCTCATGCTCTTTCTTAAAAATATTCAACTTCTCCCGCAGTGGTTCTGGCATACCGGCATCATCCATTCTCCAAGATGTCAAAGGAGATACACTCCTCTCAACTGGACGGGGAGAACCTTCCCTGGATAGAGGTATTTTGGACGAGGTCGACCTCAGCCTGTACGGACAACGCTTCTTCTTTTCTTTGATCCCTTTCTTCTTGCTCATCCTCTCTGTTTCTTCCTCTTCGTCGCCATCAGAAAGCATGTGATCTAGACGTAATATTTTCAGTAACTTCTTAGCTTGCTGGACCTGAGCACTCTTCGGTCTTGATAGTCGAGGTGACGCCGAGGGAGTCTCCTGAGAACGAGTTTGCAAAACAGATCGAGGATAGTTAGCAGCCTCTACATTTGAGTTAGGCATTTTCTTTTGAAGAGCGCTGGTTTTACTCAATCTACTCTTCCTCTTTACCTCCATCCCCTTCTTCACCGTCTTCATATTGTCGTCATGCGTTCTTCGAAGACTTCGACACCAAAGCATTGTCTGAATGTCCAAGTTGCCATAGTTGGCGCTCATTGCGACCTTCCTCACTCTGCCGGTGGCTAAAATTCATCAAAATTTTGAGTGTCAATTTGAGGACACCGTATTAGCAGACGCAAAGAGTTGCTTCACTGAGTCCAGTGTTGCTCATCAAATTATTCCCAAACGAGCCTCATCTTTGTTTCCTAAGCGTAAATCTGACGCAACCCCGTCAGAACTGGGAATGTGCCGTGCTGGTAATCAGAACTGTGTAGCCACAACTGGTCGCACGCAAGCATTTCTGTATGGTCGCGGGATTTGTCTATGCCTACGATGGAGCGCCATGTCTAACTGCTTACCTATCTGATTGTGCATAATTAAGAACGGGGAATTCCAATCTTAAGCTTGGCGGAAAGCTGTAATTTGAAGTGATTTTTCTATTCAAATGCCCATGCTGGATGTCCTCGATTAATTTTCCTAGTCTTTTCTTCCGTAGTGCTTTTTGTGTAATTCTGTTCCTGAACACCACCGCAATGCAGTAGAGGGTTACTTTGCTTGATTCATCACGACTCGCTATTCTCAAGTACTAAACTTGGGCTAACGTGCTCCTTCCTGTCAAGATCATCACCACTTAATCCGAGAAATATCCACTACAACTGAGACAGCACAAAGCCGCTTTAAAACCTTGTGAACCAGGATCGTAGCTCATAAACTCCCCTAAACAGAACGCGTTCTCATCATCAGCAAATGTGCAACGTAACTGCAAGTGAGTTGAGGTAGTTCAGACCAAGCAAGAACGACTTTGTAAAAATATGCTATTTCGGCCAGCATTTTGACACTTCGTTGCACAATGTGAGCGCGAAATCATTCGGACAAAGTTTGCTCCATTCGGCAAGTCTAAACTCATGACTAAAACCCAGCAAAGATTCTGAAAGCCAGGTTTCTCAAACGAGTGTCAAACATGATAATAATAGAAGATGAGTCTCATGCCTTGGTGCCCATAAGAAATGACAGAGCTTCCGATTTCCCTCAAAGAAAACCCGATGCTCGCTGACTCGCTAACCTGCGGAGAAGTTGAATTCTTCAGAAACAGGGCAGAATAAGCTTGCTCGACTCAGGTATTCCTGATACAAAGTTGAACGAAGTTTAAACCACATGTCGGAAATGCTGTTTAACCTATCAGACAGTGACTCTGCAAATCGTAAAATACTGTATGATACCATAAACGTCTATCCCCAGGTGAAACCCATTACAAGATCTATTGAGGCTTTTCAGTGATTCGAATGTCTGGCTAAATATGGTACCTCCGGCATGTGCTCGTCCAACAGATCTAGGACTTGTAAGAAACTGCCCTGTTCCTATCCAGATTGACCACAAGCTCTTGTTATTACTTATGCATGTAATGTCTGTTTGGAAAGGTTGATAAACTTGTGAAAAATGCCTATATCAGGATATGTCTTTGACATTGTTGCCCTCGCCCACTTGGTTGGCAGCCTTTGGAAAATCCCCGACAAATTTCTGTAAACCCTAAGAATCATAGAACGCATATCACAGATTAAAACCCTAAAATGGTACCTTCATACAAACATAAGCCAAAAGAAATCAAGGTTGCTACTTTGGGTGAAACTGTGGTGGTCTCTGCACGGAAACAAAACTAGGCGAACAAACTTCAGAGCAGGATTGCTTGTAAATACATCTTCTTAGAGAATGATTGCCAAACCTCCACAGAAATAAGCGCAACTAAACATAGATTTATACACTTGTTCCAATACAGAACCATAAATCAGCTGTTCACCTCAGGCTGTTGATAGTTTCAAGGGTAATGACATTAATTACCAACACAGGAATTTTGAAGCTTGTCTAAAAGCCACTAAATCAAAGAGAGAACTAACTTTCCAAAATCAAGATGAATCCATACCCCTGACTGCAGTAGCTGTGTAAGGTGCCTTATTTGTTTTTCTCTTTCCTCCGCAAGTCGATCTTTCTCTTGTTGTTTCCTTCTAGCCTCCTTCAAAGCCACTGATAGCTGCTCACACTGAGAGACAAGCGATTCGCATCTCGAACAGCAATCTGTGAAGTTCAAAATGTGCAAGAGTTACATCGAACACTTTTAGTTCAAAAAAATTGAATGGCTTAGATTCCCGCAGATGCGAGAAATAAGATGATGAGAAGCAACCATCATGCATATCTAACGAGGAAACACATCCGAATACAGATTGCTTACCTATCTGTTTTCCTATCTTCAGGTTGCTTACCAGGTGCACTACCATGATGTCCAACCGGAGTAATCGTTCCCTCAGAAACCTCCTTTGCTCCCGCCCCCACTACTTGCTGGGGCACATTGTCGCTACCTTTACCATTCTTGATACTTTTATACACAGTATCCTTTTCATTCTCCTCGGTCTCGTTTCTCGTGGTAGAGGATGACTGAATGGGACCTTCAGATTCTCGTGGGAGCGAGGTATCCACTGGCGCCCACCCGATTGTTCCGGGTCTTTTTCCATCAGTTCCTTCAAGCAAGCTTAGTGCATATTCCAATAAGTTATCCTCGTTGTGATCCCAATCTTTCAAGGCATCAGACCCAGCCTTACTCCCTACCCTGCTAGCTGCCTTACTTTCTACCCTGCTCCCTACTCTGCTCCCTGCCTTGCTCTGAACTTTACTTCTACTACTTGGAGACCGTGATGCTCTCGAACCACCATGAGAACTCTCACTGCCTAATAGCATGGGAAGTTCAAGCAAGTCCTCTTCCTGAATATCATCCTCTTTCTCATGGGATCTCAGACTAGAGGATCGAGGACCCTTGTCCTGCTTCAACTTCGTATACCTGTTCCGTCCCTCCAAGACGTCATTAAGCCCAGTCAAACTTCCGCTGTACCGCTCATGTCCATACGAATTTGAGTTGGAATCAGATCCATCGCGTTCGTGTATCATTGCTACCATGAACCGCGAGTGACTGTCAAAGCTCCCATGCCGCTCTCTACCACTGTCACTCAGAGGTTCCCCTGGCCCGCACTGAGAATCAAGAATACTCCTCTGATGAAGCCCTTCAGCCACCTGGTGCTCAAGGTTAGGTAAAGTGCTTACCACTGCTGGAAGGACAGTCAGTGGAGTAGGATTGTCACTCTCTGCATGAGGAGTATTAGTACCAGTAGTGCCACCTGCAGCAAAAGGAGTTGACGCGCCCGTGGTGCCTGCAGGAGAAATTAAACGACCAAGCGGACTTCCTGGATATAACTGATACCCAACCTGCAAGTCATCCTGCGGATGGTGATCTTGCTGATAGTAATCTGGGGAAGCGAATGGAGAGGCTGAGTATGGAGGCTCCGCTTCTCGCTTCGTAGTTCGCTGTTCTGAGAACGAAGATCCTAACAGCTTTGCGAAAGGAACATCAGGGGAAGAAGGCGTAGTGAAATGGGCTGCAAGCTCTGGAGGGGGCGTAAAAGGAGCTGTGGAGGGAGCAGTTGTGAACGTAGAAAAAACTGGTGGAGAGACTAGAGCGGTTTCATGTGCATACGGACCTACAGCGAACATGTTAGACTGTGTTTCTAGAGGAATCCTAGACCCACCACCCTGAGGAACAGGACACGATGAAGGGTAGTAGGGCGACTGAACAGAGGAAGGTGCCATAGAATTTGCATAGGAAGCAGGAGACGAAGGGGGTGCAAGTAGGAAGGCAAACTGGCCCTGAGGGTCAGATGGCTGTGCAGTTCCATCGTGCACTCTGGTTGCCGGAACAATTCGCTTCTTGTTCTTGCGGGATAATGAGCCAAGACAAAATGGCCCACTCCAGCAGCATCCACCTCGTGCCATCTGCAGCAGTGATGGTTTGCAATTGAGTTAGACCATGACCAAGAGAGTGTTGTGAAGTTACCATCCACAACCAAACGAAGAACTCACTGTGCCTGGGAGCAAGTTCAGATTTTTCTTCAAACGAAGTTGAAATCAACGTATAATCAATAATCATGTGGTAAAACGCATACCAACTTTACAGACAGATATATGCTTGATAACATCAATTCATAGAACGGATGTCTACGAGTTCACATCCTTGGGAGAATCTCTGGCGACCGTAATGCAAAATGCCAGAATACCTCAGGATGGATCCTACAATGTCCAGAACAGGATGGTAGTTTTCATTCTTTTTGATAAACAAATACATCGATCACGATGAACTAAAATCTTCATATCACTTGTGTTCAAACAGTGTTTCGAATGATGAATTAGATGTCAGCGTTTGACAACAATGAACGTGCATCAAACCAGAACGGTAGTGCCACTGCTGCTAACAGGTCATTCCATGGTTCACAAGCTCACTAGAGATACTGTGCATCACCAGAGTAAAAATCCAGCAAGAACCAGCAGAATTAAACTCAAAGTATGAAGTCCAACCTGAGAAGAGGTAGGACACAAACGTTTCGTCCTTCCAATGTTTATGTCATCAACGGCAGAGCGCCATAGCTGGCATTTACAGATGTCGTCTCACAGTAGATCCTTATCATGTATGACCGCCAACCATTGCTGGAGGGCAAAGAACTTAGACCTCGCACTGACACGTTCCAACAGAAACCTCCAATTCACTACAACTATAGATCCTCGCTTCAAGATCGAATGCCGCGGGACACAGGCCCGAAGCACGAGGCAAGTGCGTCCTGTTCAGCCCCTCCTCTTCCCTAATTCCAAACCAGCTGTTGAAGGTCAGGGCTCCATCTCCCACTTCAAATGACAGCAAAGGCCATGGCAACTAGAACCTCACCAATAAGAAGAGTTTGCCTCGACCTCGCCAATTAGTTTCCCGACTTCTTATCGAACTCATTCACTATCTCACGCTGTGTAAGCCCTATTACGTGCAGAATCCGTACGTCAGTACTCTGTTATCTCTAACGTCCAAACTCTCCCAAGGGAACACCTCAAAGGTCTTATTTCTCATACATAAGACCAGGTCAAATTCCGAGCAGCACAGAACAAAGTGCACCAGCCACATAAGAAACAACATACAACGCAAGCAATGCCAACCGAAACGCCACAGATCCTTCACACTACGCCTGTTTAACCTTCTCCTCCCCAGCTATCCAACCTGTCCGCTCTTTCTCTACACCTTCCATAGCGCCCACAGGAACTTATGTACCACTACCCAAGCTAGGGCAACCATTGGTAAAACAAGCTCCTCTGCAGAAACTCTTTACAAATCCGTCAGAATTTCCTCAATGACACAAAAACTCGTCATCTTTCCCACCTCCTTCACCACACCATCTTTTCCTGAACTCACACCCTAGTCTCCATACCCTCCACCCGCCGCAATTTCGGTCCTTGGCCACGACCCGTTAATGCCCTCCAACCATCTCTAACGAACTGTACTTCAATACAAGACAATCCTCAGCAAGCCAGCCACCCACAAGGATTATCGCAGGCTAAAAAGCTACAACAAGACCACTAGTGATTAACTCTCCTTGCGGTTTTCTTCCCACCACGATCTTCTGTGACGAACACCTGCGGAGCTGGAAAAGAACACAGCCACCCGATCTGGCTATTACGAGGAGGGAGACAGAAAAGCTGTTGAGGCAAATGGTAGACGAGTAGGACGACTAACCTAGAACAAGCAACTAACGCTAACCACTGTAGCCTACAACGCCACTACAGTGCTCTAGGACAGTACCGTTGATGATGAATGTCGATTAGTGGCTGCTGCGTCGGCGTCGGCGTCGAGGGAAGAGCTCCAGAGCACGGGCATCTTTAGAACGCTGTAGACGACGACCGTTCCGGCCAGAACAGCCTCCCTCTTCAAATCTACCTTCAGATTGTAATGGTAGAGGTAAAAAAAAACACGAAAAAATAATAAGAAAACACATATTTGCCAATATTAGCAACAGGAATCGGATCTGAGTGTGAGGGTTTTGGCTAAGAATTCATGTGAAGTGGGGGAATTGTGACGAGGAGTATCTACACAGATCCTACTCACGAGGAATGGATCCGTGCGCCAACCTAAGGACGGAACCAGCCCAAATACATCGAAAGTCTCCTCGATCTCTTCTCTTCCAAATTGTGCAACATTAAAATCCAATTTCGATTATCAAGATCTATAATTAGCGCACAAGGCTGATGTACTGAATGAACTCACAGGCACCGGAAAAGGTAAGATTGTTCTCATCCATTTCCATAATGGGCCATTCGTGGGTGAGCATGGGGTTAGCTCGCCAGGCCGCAAATACCAATGGATCACCATCACTGCCAGACTGGCCCGGGCACCGAAATGGATACCGAGTGCATTCCTATTCATGAGCAGCACCATTGTTCAGTAAGTCATGGTTTTTTTAACGCCATGTACGAGGAGCACCACGCTGGCATTCAATGGAGCATCAGGGAGCGCATTGGTCCGCCTCTTATAAAACTGATTTTTGTGTCTCATATTCTGCGTTCGATGCTGCTTGATATTTACCTAGGAAAGTTGTGTGTGGGAGAATAGTCTGCGAAGCCCTTTCCGTCGATAAATTGGTAGAACTCATTAAGGCGGCGTGATTTTGGAGTGCGGTTTCTTGCCAAGTATGCAATTATAGATAGTTGGTGGATAGAACTCAAAAGTGCCTCGCTTCAAGTGTGGTTACCCGCGGGCCCTACTAGGCAAGATTTAACAAATTAGCTTCGATGGCATGTTTTCCGGAGCCGTCTTTAATTTCCATGCACCAGGGCTGTCCATAGGCTCGGCAGACAGTTGGGTTCAGGAGGGCTGGGAATGGGAAGAAATTTGGATGGAGTAGGACAAGATTCCTTGTTTTCCATCAGCAACCTGGGGCCGCTGCTTTGTCTTGAAATTTCCTTTATATAGAGAAACCCTAAAACAAATTTCGTATTTAGAATCGGTGACTGAGCATTTAGCTCGACTGATTTTAATAACTGCCGGTTCTTCCTGATCATTGCACGAAGAGAGAGAGGAGATATCAGAAATTATGTTCAATTTTCCGGATCGGCAGAGCTATTTCTGGGTATGATACAGAAGCCTGAATGACCCATGGCGAATTGCAGGACACTCTCAGCATTGGAGCATGCGGTTGCCAGGTGAAAGAGACAGTGCCCCCTGGCGAGGATGAGCTTAGATTATTTTCTTGCGCCTTAGGTCTCGCTGCAGGTTGAAGACAAGCAAAACTTCGACTTGTTGTAAGGACAGCTTTACCGATGGATGGCGACAGGACTTTGAACCATGTCAGGAATTTCGATTGGAAAGAAACTGCGGCAACTTGATTCTATACCAGTTTCAAAATTTAAGGAATAATGTTGTGATAAAATATACACGTCAAGAAGAAGGTACAATGCATCAACCTAAAAGACCGAGTGAGAGACAAAGCAATCTGGTTTCTTTGGACCAGTGATATTTGTGATACTGCATTACTCTGAATTCGCTTGCATGTAGCCAATGCTTACACTCCCATTTCTTGACTGGGTGGATTTCAAGCAGGGTTTCAAGAAAACAATCATCTCAAATTCACCATTAACTGGGAGGTTTTTAATACTGGACCGAAAAAGATTTGGAAAATTCAATGTGGTGTTCGTAAATGGTTCCCCATTTGCACTACCAAAGCCACCCATTCCTTGTCTGATGGCTTCAAGTTGGTCAGCCTCTCCCTGAAATCTGCCACCATCAAGGGCAGTCCCTAAGTATAGGCTATTCACATACATTAGATTGTTATTATGTTCAAAATCACACTTATATATATATATATATATATATATCTATATATTTCTTTCTTCCAATGTGAATTTTGAAATGGAATAGTCTAAATTCTTAAGTATAATTATAATTTTTATTTTTTTTGACAATTGGGCTCATAAATAATAAATGTTTTCTATCTTAATATTATGATTTATAAGCCTATCAACATATTAAACAAAATTGCAACAACATTGCTTCTTAACAATTAAATTGGTCAAAAATATGTGGTCATGTCTTCACCTTATTAATGCATCAATCAATAGTGTGGTTGTCAAGGATATACACTAGGAAGTTGTAGAAGATTCTAAAAGATTTTAGAGAAGCTTTGTAGTTTGTAGAAGCTACTTGAGAAGTTTTCAAGCTCGAGGAAGTTGCTTGAGAAGCTTCCTAGTTTGTGGAAGCTACTTGAAAAGCTTCTTAGCTTGTAGTATGTATAAGAGCCGAGACTAAGGGGATTCTCACTCTCGACAATACACCTCTTGGAGCTCTAGCTCGCCTCTCTAGTATTGTTCTTGTACTCATCTGATTAATCTAGTTCTTGCCGATTCTTCTTGAGCTTCTTGTTTAGATTTCTAGTTAGTATTCTAAATTCGTGACAATTTGACGAGACTGAACTCATCTTTCATATCACAGCTAGATCCTTCTTATTAGAATATATATTATCCCTCTGCTTGAAGGTGCTAGTATTTTAGAAGTTACGGATTACCCTCTTTTAAACTGATATTTTTTCTATTATAATATTGGAGTCTTATCTTTCTTGGAGAGAATGGATTATCCCTCTTTTTGAAGGTTTTAAGGCGTTTTAGAGGTTGTGGAGTACCCTCGTCTAAACCAATACTACCTTCTTGTAGAGTTATTTTTTTCCTTCTCTTAGAATGGCCGGAGGTCAAGATATTAGTATGGTTGAAAGTTCGAAGTCTAAGTTCGATGCCATTATGAATGCTCTTGCTATGTTAACATAGAGAACTCTAGAGATTGAAGGAATCATTACAAGACTTCATAATGATGGAGCATCTAGGATGGCACAATCGAGGATTCACCAACCTCAAGCTTCAGCACCAATAGAAGTAGCTTTGCCTCTAGTTGTCATGGACATATACATGTAAGCCAATAATTACATGTATAAATAGGTAGAAGTAAGTAAAAGTAGGTAAAAGTAAGTTAATTCTATAGTATTTGATATAGAAGCTTTTTAGAAGCTTTGTAGATGTTGCTTTGACTTTATAGATTTCTTTAATTGACTTTTTTGGATTAGAAACGTCGTCAACAAGTTGGCCACGTACCACACATGTTGTTAGCTTGAAGACCAACCTAATTATGTGGCCCATACATAAAAAAACTTGTCTTGTAAGTCAAGGCATAATTCCTATAAAGTCAACACATATTGGAGGTCCTATAAAATGTCGCCACATAGCCTCTAGTTAGATAGTATATATAGAGACAAGAATAAAGCCTTCTCTACTCTTATCAACTCCTTTCTTGCTTCCAGTCTAGTTTCAAAGGTCTCTACTTTTCTTGTCTTTTGGCAATAGCCATTCCAGTTTCTTTCTTAATATATATATATATATCAAGTTATTTCTATTTTGTCATCTTTCTATGAGAGAAGTCTCACTTGTTTATTTGTCTTTATCATGTTCTTGTCCTTGACAGATTGACAAGAGTACACTTACAATATTAGAGCTTTGTGTAATCTTGATTAAGAGTGGATTACCCCTTTTTCTTGATAAGACACAAGCATATTAGAAATTGCGGATTACCCTCTTCTAAACTGATATTATTCTTAGTATTTTCTTTGATCTCAAGTCCTTTCTTCCATTTGTCTTGAGCGATACTAGACATCTTCTCTTTTCTAAGTATTATCATGGCAAAACTTGTTGAAATGAAGAGTGCAATGGCACAAATGCAAGAGCAATTGAAGGAGTTAATCCTTGCGATGCATCAACTCAATTTATCACTAGAAGGAACAACAAAATTGGCAAGAATTGAAGATATAGAAATGATTGAAGCTGCTTCAACATTTGTACCAAATCATTTCCCTTCTCATATGGTGGAACATCCTTCTAGTATTAGAGAACCAAGAATTGTCCTACTGGAGAAGTTTGATGGCACCAGATCCAAGTTTCGAGGATTTATCAATTAAGTGCAACTTGTAATTGAACTTCAACTCCAAAGCTATCTAACTCAAGGATCGCAAGTTAAATTCATTCGTACGCTTCTTTCAAGTTCAACATTATTATAGTTTTTATCTTTTCTTGAATGACGAGATCCAATATTAGATAATCTAGAGACTTTTCTAGCAGAGTTTCAATCCATGTATAAAAAATATGATGTAATTCGTGTTGCAACCAATAAGATCCATATTTTACGATAAGACAATTGATCAGTAACGTTATATGCTTCATAATTTTGACAACTTGCAACTGATATCAAGTGGAATGATGGTGCACTTATTAGCCAATTTCTCTACGGATTATAATATGAGGTAAAAAAATTAATGTTCAACTTACTTGATCCTCAAAGATTGAGTCAAGAAATTGACTTTGCTGTGAAGTGCGACAATCATCTTTTTGAATTTTGATTTGAGAACCGTACAAATGGACCTCAATGTTACTATAATTCAATGGCAATACCAACACCTCTTCAACACATACATTCGGAATTAGAGGATATGCAAATTGATGCAGTATGTTTCAAACCTCTTGCTGAGCAAGAAAAGACTTGTCGTTGTCAAAAAAGATTAAGCTTATATTGTAGAGAACCTAAGCACAATGCTCAACATTATCTAAAGAAGTTACATAAATATAAAATGAAGAGTACGGCGATTAAAGAAGATAGCATGTCGGAAAATGAATTTGTGCAGCTACAATAGGGACCGTGTGGCTGGAACCTTGTACAATGCCTAGTGAAGGTCCTATCCTCTCATCAGAACCCTCTCCATGTTTTACGATAAATATTATTCTAGGACCTAAATATCTTAAAGCCTCTGCCTTGTTAGATTTAGGAGCATCAGCATGTTTCTTAGATGAAAATTTTGCTAAAAGACATAGTATATTTTTAATAAAGAAAACTAAACCTATTCATGTAGAAGTCATAGATGGTCGTCCGTTTTCTTCAGGAGATGTTACTCATGAAATCCTTCCTATAGAAATAGCAACTAATGGTCATAGTAGCTTTATAATATTTAATATCATTAGATCTCCTTCTAATCTAATTATTTTAGATTTATCATGGCTAAAAAAATATAATCCTAAAATAGATTGGACTTCTCGTAGTCTTGACTTTTCTGAAAGTATAA